GATGTCCGGCCTGCCGTCTGCCTACGCAACGATGGCCACCGTGATCACTGCCACCACCGACGGGGACCTGAGCCTGGATGACATCCTGCCCAAGCTGCTCACCGTGGAGCACAACGAGCAGAAGACAGAGCGCCCCAGCGAAGAGGCGCTGATGGCCAACGCTCAGGACCGCCACGCCGGGCCGGGCCGTCCAAGCAACCACCCCGGTGGCAAGTCCAAGGGCCCCTGTTTTCATTGCGGCATCCTGGGCCACCACAAGTTTGAGTGTAGGAAGCTGGCGCAGGAGCGCAGCCAGCAGCAGCAGCAGCAGCAGCGGCGGGCAGACCAGCAGCGCCCACGCCGCCAGCAACAGCGCCCGCACCAGCGGTTTGCCGCTGCCATTGCCCTGTCAGCATCAGCAGGGCCCCCGTGCCTGGGGCCACCCAGCAGCGGACGGGGGGATGTCCTCAACACCAGGTGGAGCAGCCAGAACAGGATCAGCCGGCGCAGCCACAACATTAGCCGGAGCAGCTGCAGCACCAGCCAGGCCAGTGACAGCTCGCAACGTTGGGTGCTAGACACCGGTGCATCTTGCCACCTTACTCACGACTCCTCTGTTCTGCTCGACCCCTACCTGCTGAAGGAGGCCATCACCATCGCCTTTGGCAACGGCGGCACTGGCAAAGCCACCACTGCCGGGCACGTGCTGCTGCACACGCCCAACGGCCCCTTCATCCTGCGCGACGTGCTGCACGTCCCAGGCGCCGCCGAGCAACTGCTCTCCGTGCGGCAAGCCACGCGGCGTGGCCTGAGCTTCAAGTTCATGGCCGACGCCTGCGAGATCTGGCAGGGCGACCAGGTCCTGGCCACCGCGCCCTGCCACGGCGACTCAGTCTACACCCTGACGGGCCGGGCCGAGCAGGCCCACGTGGCGCGCGTCTCCAAGGAGAGCCCCCAACTCTGGCACCAGCGCTTCGGCCACCTGGGCTACGACAACCTGGCGCGCCTTCAGACCAAGGACATGGTCACCGGCATCGCCACCACCGCCAACGACTTCAAGGCGGCAGGCGCCGGGCCACCGTGTGAGCCCTGCGCCCTCGGCAAAGCGCAGCGTGCGCCGTTCAAGGCGAGCGGCGACAGCGCCGCCTCCTCCAAGTTGGAGCTGCTGCACACCGACGTGTGCGGCCCGCTGCCTGTCACCTCCCTGGGAGGCAGCAAGTACTTCGTGACCATCCTGGACGACTACACCAAGTCCTCCACCGTGCACACCCTGGCACACAAGTCCGAGACGGCTGCGGCCGTCAAGGCAACCATCACCCAGCTGGAGACTCAAGGCGGCACCCGCGTGCGGCGCTTGCGCTGCGACAACGGCTCCGAGTACATCAACCAAGAGCTGAAGGCCTTCTGTGCATCGAAGGGCATCATGCTGGAGACCACCGTTCGCTACAGCCCGGAGCAGAACGGCGCGGCCGAGCGCCTCAACCGCACCCTGCTGGACAAGGTTCGTCCCATGCTGGAGGATGCCCACCTGCCCAAGTCCCTGTGGGCAGAGGCCCTGGCCACTGCCAACTACCTGCGCAACCGGTCACCTGTGAGCGGCCGCGACAAGGACCCCATCGAGCTGCTCACCGGCACCAAGCCTGATGTCTCCCACCTGCGCATCTTCGGCACCAGCTGCTACGCGCTCATCCCCAAGCAGCTGCGCAACAAGCTGGCCCCTACCAGCGAGCCTGGACGCCTCATCGGCTACCCGCCCGGCACCAAGGGCTACAAAATCCTCCTGGACAGCGGGCGCATCGTCATCAGCCGCGACGTCACCTTCAACGAAGGACCTGGCCACCTGGAGCACAGTCCCAGCACCCTGCTGCCCCCACGGCGCGACTCCGTCGCCGTCAGCGACGATGAGGAGGGCGCCGAGACCGTGGGAGCGGCGCACGACAGCGGTGCGGAGGAGGAGCAGGAGCAAGCACCGCCGCCGCCGCCGCTGGCAGATGGCCCACGGCGCAACCCTGTCCGAGCGGCAGCGCAGCGCCCGGCATCTGTGTGGCAGCTGGACGGCTACCGCGCCACCACTGCCCAGGCCCACCTGGCAGTCATCACCGAGCCCACCACGCTGGAGGAGGCACTGGCCTCTGAGCAAGCCCCCTTCTGGCGGCAGGCCATGGACGAGGAGTATGCATCCCTGCTGGACAACAACACCTGGACGCTGGAGCGCACCCCGTAGGGCGTCAACCCCATCCCTGTCAAATGGGTGTTCAAGATCAAGCGCGACAGCACCGGCGCCGTGGAGCGGTACAAGGCCCGCCTCGTCGCCAAGGGTTTCCGCCAGCGCGAGGGCATCGACTACGAGGAGGTCTTCGCCCCCGTCAGCAAGTTCACCACCCTGCGCACCCTGCTGTCCATTGCTGCCACCAACGACTACGAGATCCACCAGCTGGACATCAAGACTGCTTTCCTCAACGGCGAGCTGGAGGAGGAGGTGTACATTCAGTAGCCCCCTGGCTACGAGGAGGGCAACGACGACATCTCCTGCCACCTGAACAAGGCACTCTACGGCCTGAAGCAGGCGCCCCGGGCCTGGCACAAGAAGCTCAAGTCCGTGCTGGAAGAGATGGGCTACATCGAGTCAAGCGCCGACCCCGCTCTCTTCATCAAGCCCAGCGCCGACCCCATCTACCTACTCATCTATGTCGACGACATACTGGTCGTTTCGATCGACGTCGCCGAGCTGCAGTCCACCAAGGTCCAGATCCTGGCTGCCTTCGACGCCCGCGACCTGGGCCCTGTCACCTACTTCTTGGGCATGGAGATCATCCGCGACCGCGCCAACCGGACCATCAAGCTGGCACAGAAGCGCATGACGGCTGACCTGCTGACCAAGTTCAACCTGGGTGAGGCCAAGCCCCTGAGCACCCCACTCAGCACCGCCACCAAGCTCACCAGCGTCGGCGAGCCCATGGACGCACGCACCCCCGGCTATGCTCAGCTGGTTGGGAGCCTGCTGTATCTGTCAGTCTGCACACGCCCCGACATCGCCCAAGCCGTGGGAGCTCTCGCCCGCTACATGTCCAAGCCCAGCCTCGCCCACTGGCAGGCAGCCAAGGGCGTGCTGCGCTACCTGGCGGGCACCGCCAACTACGGCATCACCTTTGGCGCTGGCGGCCCCGGGCTGGAGGCCTACTGCGACGCAGACTACGCCGGCGACATCGACACCCGGCGCTCCACCACCGCCTACGTCTTCATCCTCAACGGCGGTGCCATCAGCTGGTCCAGCCGCCTGCAGCAGACCGTGGCGGCCTCCACCACCGAGGCCGAGTACATGGCGGCAGCCGCCGCCATCAAGGAGGCCCTCTGGCTGCGCACCCTGTTGGGCAACCTGGGCCAGCCCATCCAAACCATCCCCATGCTGGCTGATAGCCAGGGCGCCATCAAGCTGCTCAAGAACCCCGTCTTCTCCATGCGCTCCAAGCACATCGACGTCATCTACCATTTTGCCCGCGAGCGCGTGGCACGACGTTTCCTTCTCCTACATCAAGACTGACCACATGGTCGCCGACTCCCTGACCAAGCCCGTGCCGGCAACCAAGTTCGACTACTGCCGCACCGCCATGGGCATCACCCCCTGCAGTTGAGCAGTCTGCGTGGGAGTGTTGGACGGCGGGCCACCTGGCTGCACCAGCGCCCGCCAGCTGTCCAGCCTGCTCACCTACAGCACCCACCGCGTTGGGACGCGGCCAGACCGAAAGCCAGATGGCCAAACCGAAAGCCACGCGCCCCACACCCGCGCCAGCTGGCAAAACCCAACGGTCAGCTTCCCCGACCCAATGCCATCTGTCAGCACCCTCCAGCTGGCGGCGACATCTGGCGGCCACCCGCCATCTGGCCATTCTCCCATGCATGCATATAATCCCCTGCATTTCGCCTTGTTTGTCATTCTCTCCTAGTGCCCTTCCTCAGTGACTGCCCTCTGCAGTCTGGTGTAAAGCCCTTCTCTCACAACACGCCCAAGGGGGCCAATTGCACCCATGTCGAGGCCTCCCAGGCCAGTTTTGAGTGCAGAATCGTGATCCCCGCCCCCTAAAACCCCAGGGGGAGGCAGGAGAGGCCCCAGAAGCCCCGTTTAAAAAACTGGCCAGCGGGTCAAATGGTGCAGGTCAAATGGAGGGGGTATTTGTACCGCAAACGATACCCCTTTTTGCCTCATCGGGTAATCGAATCTTACCCCTATTTTGACCAATTTCATAGTTCCACTGCTGAAATGTGAGCTATATACGTAGGTGCACGTAGGGTGCATTACTACTCGCATTGTGGCATCATGTAGCACCTTATTGTAGGTGGTAAAAATGTCTCCAAAAGGCGGGGCGGCGGAAAACAATGCAACACCACCCATTCAGTTATCCAGCACAGTAGCGGACACTGCCACACCCTGCCACACTAATATACACGTGACAAGTGGTACGGGTGCGCAGCGACGTAGGCGGCACTGTTGGGAGTCAAAGACACCCCCTTAGGTTGCAACAATCATTCCACTAAGCCCTGCTGTAGTGATGCAAGCGGTAGAGCAACACACGGCCGCGCGCGTTGCCGATGGCCAGGTATCCGCTGTTTGGGCTGAAGGCTGCGTCGTGCACGTAGTGCAGGGGCGATTTGGAGGTCGGCCAGTTGCTGAACACGGTCATCGTGGGCACATGCACCACCCTGCACCAGCCGCGGCATGCGGCATGGCAGTTCGTTTTGCCCCCACGCTTGGCTTCCATTGAACGGGTGTCGACACCACCTTCCGTAGCAGGGGAGCTCGACACCAGTGCAGCGAGGCTCCGTCAGTGAACAACACGTCCAGCTACCCATAACCTCACCTCAGCGCGTCACGCTTTAGCCTGGACGCCATGACCATCATTTGGCAATCGTGGTTGAAAGCCAGCGTGTCGATGCTGGTGGTCAGGTTCAGCACCGTCTTGAGAGGCTTGCCTGCACACTTGTCCATAATCCTTGCTGGACATCCATCCGGTTTTGTTTGGTGCGACGTGGTTGCAAGCAATCAGCTTCGCTCACCTGCGCTTGGTGCCTCGGGTAGCACCCAGCCTTCTCCACTGCTAAATACAGGTTGCTGGGGCTGCGAGGGTTGCGCCCGTGCGTAGATGTTGACTACGCCGCTGTTGGAGCCTGCGTGCGGACCAACGGCCCGTGCATGCACACCAATCAGCAACTAGACACAAGTCACGCTCCTGCTGACTGCAAGCAGGCCTGGCCCACCTGTGGCGAAGAGGGTGCCGTCAGACGCGCAGGCCATGCTGGCGCCGTTTAGGCACCCCTCGTCCTGATGCCGCTGCAAGCAGCGCTGCGTGCGCAGGTCCCAGACATACACTGCATGAGCATGGGATGAGCGGCGAGGTGGGCCACAGGCAAGGGAGCACGAGGGGAATGGAGGACGCAAGCGATTTTCTGCCCGTCTTCCATGGCAGCAGCCCGTACCTGTGCCGTCGCCGCCGCTGGTGAGGAGCTGAGTGCCATCGGCGGTGAAGGCACCGGTGCGGGCAGTCCCATTCATCTTCAGCGTGCCAACCATCTGCAGCAGGCAGGTGAGTGAGTGACCGCCAGCACCACCGTGCTCCTCCTGCCAGCCTAATCTAGACGCGCGGGCCACGAAGCGAGGAGGGCCACCTCGGGACGCAGCCCAGCCAACTACCACTGCACAACCGTGGCAGGGTGTGAGCTGCGCCTCACCTGTTTGGTGTGCAAGCTGACCAGCGGCACGTGCCCCTCGTTGCCAAAGAAGGCAGCGACTGCGCAGCAACCAAACAGAAACAGCGCCGATGGTCAATCGAGCCAGAGAGTGGTGCACCCACAAGCACGGGGCACTTGCAGCAGAACGCCCCCAAGCCCAGCATCAGCCCAGCTCTGCAGCGCTGAACAGCACAACTGATGTGCTGGCCGGGGCAACAACGAAGCTCACTGGGTTGCGGACTGTGTTGGCTGGTCACAAAGCTCTCGAAGCTCTTCTCATCGCGCCATGCACGCAGCGAGGCCAGGCGCTCCACCGCCCGCGACTCCACATCTAACAAGTAGAAGAAGCGGCGGCGGCCACTCAATACCACCTGCAGGGGGTGGGGTGGGTGGGTGTACGGTGGGTGGGCTGGGTGGTGGACAGCCTGGGTGGGCACGTGTGGGAGAGTGAGGCCACCCGCCATGCGGGTGGACCAAGGCAGCGGGGGCTGACTGAGTGGGCGCCGCACCCCAATCCACCACCCCCTGCCACACCATCCCCGCCCCCTCAGCCACGTCCTCTGTGGACCTTCGGGTGCGGGCGGGTGGCAGCAGCGGCGGCGCGGGCCCGGGAGCCCCGGCGCGTCATTGCCCCTCCCAACCCGCGGCAATGCGACACCGGGCGCTCGCGCAGGGGCTGGGGTGGGCTGGGTGGTGGGTGGCCGGGTGGGATGGGTAGGGCCACTGCCCCCCCTGGGCCAACCGGCCCCGCCTGGGCCAGGAATGCGTCGCCGCAGATGGCTGGCCCTGTGCCCAGCAGCGGCGGCCACCCCCACTTCTATGCAGACACCCCCATCGCCTGCCCAGTCGCTTCAGTGCGTCGAATGGCGAGCACAGGCGCAGCGCGGGTGAACATGCATGCAACGAGAGCGTGAACAAAGCGACGGCCTGTCTTGGCAGCGCATTTCCTCACTCGACGCTGCCAAAACTTAGCTGTGCTGTGAAACGCACCTTGCTGCCGCCCGCTGCAAAGGCCGCCTTGTGCACTGGCATGTCCTCAATAAACCAGCTAGCAGCGCGCTGGTTCCTACAGGGAAGAACAGTGAGGCGCAGATTTCAAGCAGCCCACGGGGCAACAGCAATGCGCTCCAGCAGACAAACACCGCCATCACAAGCTGCTGCTGCTGCACATGGTGTTTGGCCACCGCATCAGGAACGAAGTCTCATGCAAGGAGTCCCATGCAAACGCACTTCACGCCATCCACAGTGAACAGGCAAACCCGGCGATCCAGGCCCGCGGTCAGCAGCAGCTCGCCATTCTGGTGGAACTCCACGCTCCTGCAGCAGTGGCAGAATTAGCACCAGGGAAGTCAGCATGATGCAGGTGACAGCTTAGGTGACAGCACAGTCCACAGCAACAACCCAGGATGAAAGAACGACAGCACATGGCGGCAGCGGCACAAACAGGTCGCCAAGACATGCCGCCAGCATACTTAAGAGCTGCAGCATGCAGCCTGCGCCACTTTTGACTCTGGCGCCACCGACAACAGCAGCAGCAAGCGTTGGGGCAAGGGCAACAGCCAGGGAGGGCCATCCAGCGGCACGCACTTGACAGCACCCTTGCAGGGTTCAGTCTGGTTGGCATCCTTGAGCCGCGTCGTCTCCAGCATGCTCGGTGGCAGTGCGGCGCCGCGGGCCAGCAGGCCACCCGCTCGCTGCAGCAGGCGCTCGGCAGCTTCGGCCGCTTCATCCTCGGTGTCGCTGCCGGCATCGCCATGCTCTGCTGCTCGCTGCCTCTGCTTGGACGCCTTCTTTACGCTGGCCCACGCTGTGCGTGGGTTGAGCTTGTTGTGTTGCTGCCGCAAACGCTGCTCGTACTGCTGGCCTGCACCCCAACATGAGTTGCGAAGCGCAGGCGGCATCGGGCCACGAGGCGGTGCAGGTTTGGGGCGGCCCAGCAAGCTCATGCTGCAGGCGTTGGGGTCAGGCAGCGGGAGCATGTGCACAAGAGCTGCTCCAGGGCAGACAGGGCTGCCCCGGTGGCGGCACTGCCCCCCACCTGTCAACTCCACTTCATCCTCTGCTTGGCGCAGCTTGCGCAGCTGGTTGCGGGCCGCCACATTGACCCGCAGGTGTGCATCCTGGGGGTCCTCCCATGCCGGACGCTTGCGCTGCTGCCGCGCGCTGGCGGGCGGCACCTTGTTGGCGCCCCGGCGGTCTTCATACAGAAGCAACCCACCCCCACCGTGCTGCCGTTGGCGCCGGCCCTCCTCCTCGTCTCTCTCATCCATGATTTGGTCTTCGTCTGCTGCTGCCGCGCCTGCAGCATACGACCGCAAAAAGGCGGCCAGTGCGCTGCCGTGTGCCTCGTCGTCGTCCACCGCCTCCTGGCCTAGCTGCTCCAGCGCCTGCTCGTCCCGGCCAAACAACAGGCTCTCGAGCTCCGCCTCCTGATGCGTGCACGGCAGGGGAAATGGTGACTCCAGGGGGGAGGCCCAACAAATTGCATGCAGTGTGCGCCTGCTCACTCGCCTGCCCATCCGTCAGCTTTCTCGCCTTGCGCCCCACATGCCGCCCCGGCCCCTCGTCGACTAGCATTGTGCTTTGTTGCTGCTGCCCACGTTCTGAATGCAGGTTGCCACTGCGCCGGTGGGCGGCCAGGGGGGTCGTGACAATGGCAGGAAGGCTGCATGCATGATGGACGCGACATGCGTGAGATTTTTGGGGGCGCCGACGTGGCCTAGCCATCGACGATGGCCATCCTGCGCCCAAAATTGCACAGGTAGTCCATCAATCCCCACCGGCATTGAAAGATCGCGCGGGCGACCGATTGCATCGCTCACGTCCCGATCAGACATCCCGAGACCTGCAAGCAACATCTCACGCACTCTCCTCGTTCACCAGGGCCCCCATGCCCAGCCCTGGATCGGTGCCAGGCCGGGCGCTGCTGTCGCTGCTGCTGCTGGCCGCGGTAACGGCCGGTGGCGGCACCCGCGACCGTCCGACCACACAGCACGACCCCGCCCCCAAGCTCAACGTGCACATTGTCTGCCACAGCCACGACGATGCTGGGTGGTTGAAGACGGTTGATCAGTACTACTACGGCGCCAACAACACCATCCAGGTGCGCGCGTAGGGGTCGTGCGGGAAGCAGAAGACGGAAGGGGCAGCCAGCGGCATGCATTCAAGGCACTATAACTTTCTTCCCGCTGCTTTGCTCCCAGGTGGCAGGCGTGCAGTACATCCTGGACACGGTGGTGCAGGCGCTGGCCGCCAACCCCGCCCGCAAGTTTGTGTACGGCGAGATGGTGTGCGCCGGGCTGGGTGCCGCTCCCCTGATTCCGTGCCGTGCTCGCTTCACAAGTGCCTGTCATCTGCCGCCAGGGGTGGTGGGCGCTGCCGGCTGGAATGCCATCCTTTCCATGCCATGCTATCCTCTACTGCCCCCGCAGAGCTTCTTCATGCGCTGGTGGGCGCAGCAGGATGAGGACATGCATGCGCTGGTGACGCAGCTGGTGCAAGATGGCCAAGTGCGTAAGCAAGCAGCATTCGCTGCTTACACCTGCTGCGTGCCTGCGATGCAGCTGTTGCACCAAAAGCATTGCCATTGAACATTGCAGTTGGAGTTTGTGAATGGCGGATACGTGCAGCAGGATGAGGCCACAGCACACTATGTGGCAATGATCGACCAGACAACACTCGGACACACGTCTGGGAGCTGCCAGCACCTGTGCCAGCTCATTGCGGATGCCTTGCAATGCATTCATGCCGCGCCTTGGCTTGCGACTCCAGCGTTAACTACTGCCTCCTCGCAGGTTCCTGCGCAAGACGTTTGGGACCATCCCCCGAGTGGGCTGGCAGATTGACCCATTTGGTCACTCTGCCACACAGGCAAGCCCCACAGCCTGCCTGGGCGTGGCAGTGGCACCAGACCTCACACCCTGGTGGTCCACAGACTTGCTTGGCCAGGATTTGGGGCTGCCACCATGCAGGCCGGCTTGTTGTCTGCCCACGTAGGCTTTGACGCGCTCTTCTTTGGACGTGCAGACTATCAGGCATGACACGCATGATTGGCTGCTTGCCTGCTGGGCTCTAGTGTGGTGAACCTGCATGCAGCGCGACAGTGTGCCGACCAGCCTGCCCACCTGCTGGAGCGCGTGTCCCCGCCTGCGCCACAGGACATGGCGCATCGCAAGAACCTGACGGCCATGGAGATGGTGTGGCAGGGGTCCAACTCCCTGGAGGATGCCACCGTTTTCACTGGCAACTTCATCAGTGGTGAGCGTATGCGGCAGGTGGTGGTGTTTCCTGTGGACGTGTCGCTCCTTGAAACAGCATTTGATTCTAGCATGGTCCCCAAGTGCGTGCAGGCAACTATGGACCGCCTGAGGGATTTGGTTTCGAGTGGGGTTGCCCGCCAATCATGGACGATTCACGCCTGGACGAGTACAATGTGCAGGACAGGCACGCTTGGGACAGCAGTTCTATGAGCTACAGGGCTAGCAATTCCTCCCAGCCATTGCAGCGAGGCATGCATGCACTTGCTGCCCCTTATAACGCTGCTGTGCCGACCTGCCGATCTGCCGGCTTGCAGAGTCGATGCCTTTGTGGAGCAGTGCCGGGCAGTTGCCGGGGTCACCCGTGGCCCCGACATCATGCTGCAACTGGGCTCCGACTTCCAGTATGCCAATGCTCACCTACAGTACAAGAACCTGGACAAGCTAATCCGTGCTGTAAATGCCGATGGCCGCCTCAACGCCTTCTACTCCACCCCCGCAGAGTGAGTTTATCATGTGTGCCGAGGCTTGTATCCACAGTCAGGATGGCAAGACAGCACGTGAAGGGGACAAACTAGATGATCCTTTGCTGCAGGTATGTGCGCGCCAAGCATGCCTACAGCGGCGAGCGCTGGCCACTTAAGTCTGATGATTTCTATCCATATGCCGACTTTCCACATGCCTATTGGACAGGTGACCGCCGCATAACATTTGTCGTTTTGCGGTTGTAATCAGGGGCATCATTCCTCATACCGCTGGTGCTTGGCAAAGCTTGCGTGGCCCCTCACGGGCGCAGGCTACTTCACCAGTCGCCCCGCCAGCAAGGGCTACATCCGTGCAGCTACCTCTTTTCTACAGGCGGCACGCCAGCTGGAGGCGTTCATGGGGCTCCCCGAGGGAGGTACGCGCCGCTGCGGTACTTGCTGTAAGGGTGCCCTGACACCATTTGAAACCTGATCAGCTCGAGCGCATGCTGCTGCCACGGACCCTATGGCTGCAGGACCCACTACACATGCGCTAGAAGAAGCGGTGAGCCTGCTCCAGCACCATGATGCCATCACCGGCACTGAGAAACAGCACGTGGCCTGCGACTACCACAGGCGCCTGCACAGGGGTGAGTGTGCTATGCGTTTGGAGACAGTGATTGCCATAGCGCAGCTGCCAGCTGGTGGCATCCATTTGCTCTGGCGCAAGCCAGGCGGCCTACCCCTCCGCCGCTTCCGTGCAGGGCTCAAGGAGGCGCAGGTGGTGGTTACCTCTTTACTGGAGGCGCTTATTCGTGGCCAGTACACGCCCGGCGGTGGCCCTGGGCATCATGGTGCTGCTGACGGCAGCAGCGTGTTGGCCAGCGAAGCACGGACGCGTATCGGCACAGCTGCCAGCCTGCACCGCCGCCTGCAAAAGGAGGAGGGGCAGGCGCGGGCACAGCCCAACCCCGTGGACACACCCATTGAACTGGAGGTCTGCGACTGGCTCAACATCACTGCCTGCAACACCACAGGTAGCCTCAATGCTGCCGTCCTGAGCCACATACGTCCAGAACTGTCAGGATGTATCATTCTGAAGTCCCCTATGCATACTTTAAGGATATTTTCAGAATGACGCACATTGTCTCACAGCTTCTTTTCTCTCCGTTTCCAGTGCGCTTATCGGCCACAGGCAAGGGCTTCATGGTGGTGGCCTACAATCCTCTGGGATGGAGCCGTGAGGCTCCCTTGCGGGTGCCGGTGGACTCTGGTGCAACCTGTACCTGGCATGTGACGGGTGGGTGGGCAAGTTGCCAACTCTGCATCAGACTCCAGTTGCTTTGATTGCACTCAACATTAGCCATGCGGCCAATCTCTTTTTCTTGGTGCAGGCCCCGAGGGCGATGAGATGGCATCGCAGCTGGTCCCTGCCTCACACAGCACCAACTCTTTGCAGCAGCTCCTGGCGGGCGTAAATGCCACCTCTCCCACAACGTTTGGGAATGCTGGTGGGTGCCGATCTTTGGCATGTCGCCCCAGCCACAAACTGCAGCTGCCGCTTTCTGCTCGAGGCGCCATATGAGCCTCAAGCTGACGTGTCGGAATGTGTCTCGGCATGCAGAATTGGTGTTTGTGGCGCGGCTGCCGCCCCTGGGTTACAGCACCTTCTTCGTTCAGCCCTGTGCTCACAGCATGCATGACAGCAGCATCGGCAAGCTGGAGGAGGCAGCACATCGGGATTCTGCACCCAAACCTGCTGGGCCAACAGACGCAAAGCTGTTGCAGGCCAGCAACGGCAGTACAGAGCCCGAGCGCTATGTGCTGCTAGACAATGGAGTTGTGAGCCTTGAGTTTGACACGTACACAGGTGAGCGCCTGATGTGGTCTCAGCTGTGCTGTGCCGTGCTTTTTTGCGCTGGACACATCCTCTGCAGATGGCAGCGGGTTGGAGCATAGACAATCCATGGACGGCAGATGCACATCCTGCTCCTAATCCTGCTTTGCTGCCGCTCCTCCTGCCGCCCTAGGCCTGCTGCGCAGCATGAGCTCACAGGGCACTTCAGTGCAGCTGTCCACCTTCTTTGGCTGGTACAACAGCAGCGATGGGCTGGAGGTGCAGGAGAACAGGGGCCAGTCCAGCGGCGCCTACATCTTCAGGTGTGGATCAGCGCGCAGCTCAGACCGCACCAACAGCCATTGGCAAGGTCTTGCACTGTGTGGGTCCCCTGCTGCTGTTGTAGGCCCAACGGGTTCTACAACATGAGCAGCTCAAGTGAGGGCGGCAGCTGGTGGAGCAGCCTGGTGGGGCAGCTGTTGCCCGGCAAGAAGCACCGCAAAGTCGCGCAGCTTGAGCTGGTGCGTGGTGGAACGGTTTTGGAGGCGCGCCAGGTGTTCTCCAATTGGGCCACGCTGGTCACCAGGTAAAGGAGCAGCAGAAGGTTACTTTAGCCAGTGGAGGGGGGCAATGGTCAGCCTCCACCATTCCTCTTGCGCCTGGCTGCCAGTTCGCTGCCGCCCTGTCCGCAGGTTGTACCGGGGGCAGCCGCAGGTGGAGGTGGAGTGGACCGTGGGACCTATCCCCATCGAGGATGGTCTGGGAAAGGAGGTGGTGCTGGTGGTGAGTGAGTGGACACATACTTTGTTGATGGATGCCGTGCTTGGCACGCTCTGAAGTCAAGGGGTCCTCTGCTAGATGATGCTTGGGCCCCATCCGCCTCGTGCCCTCCACTCGATCTCGTCGCTGCCGCAATGCAGTACACCAGTGACATTGACAGTGGTGACGGGTTCTGGACGGATGCAAATGGCCGAGAGATGGTCAAGCGCACGAGGCAAGTATGCAGGGGCGATGCTGCATGAAACAGCGCTCTGTCAGCCAGATGCACATGTGATACTTACTTGTGCTGACGGCCATTCATGATCTCAATGCAGGAATTGTCGGCCCAGCTGGGAGCTGAACGTAACGGAGCCAGTGGCAGGCAACTACTACCCACTCACGGCTGCCATGTACATCCAGGATGCCGACAGGCAGCTGGCGGTGCTCACTGACCGTGCACAGGGTGAGGGGGCAGCTAGTGCGGTTCAGACCTCATCTGGCCCGTATTATTGCGACGTCCAGGGAGAATGTGTGTCGCGGGATGTTATCCTTCTAAGCACTGGGCCGCATGCATCGTCTTGGTTGCAGGAGGGGCCTCGCTGCGGAGTGGACAGATGGAGGTCATGGTGCACCGTCGCACGCTCACAGGTGTGGCTAGTTTGCTGTTGCAGCCAGCCACTGTTCAGCATCAGGCCACTCTCCTGGTCAGGACATGCCCTGCCCCAGCACACCTACCTTCCTGTTGACTCTCACAGATGATGCACGGGGCGTTGGTGAACCGCTGAACGAGACTGCCTGCGGCTGCTCGTTTTGCAACTGCCCAGGCAAGTGTTGAATACTATTCATATGCTACCATGGTGCCCTGTCAGCTGCCGGCTCAACAGGGCGCCGCTCTGCTGTCCTGCAATTGCAGGCTTGGTTGTCCGTGGCAAGCACTGGCTGCTGCTAGCATCGCTGGAGGAGGCTGCTCGGCCGCGCCGCACGCTGCAGCAGCAGCTCAACGACCCACCGCTGTTAGCATTCAGCGCCATCCCGCATGAGATTGGCAGGTGGGGTGAAGCAGCAAGTTGCACTGCTGTTGTGAACGACCTGTGGCGTTAGCAGTGCTGTTAGGTCGACGGTGCAGCTGCAATGCCGTCTGCTGCAGCTCCTCTGCCATTGACGGCCGAGTGGGCCTGCGGCGCACCTTCAGCCTCAGCGAGGGACACATCTTGCACAGGTGAGCAAGCTGCTGGCTAGGTGCGTACTCAACTTCCAATAGGACGCGTGGGTGTGGGTGTTGGTGGGGTCTGATGTTAGGGGGCTGCAAATGAAACACTAGATTGGCCCCCCACCACTACCACCCTCCCGAAGTTTCTGAGAAATCACCTTTGAAGGGGTGGCTGGGGGCGGTTAACAAGCGGTCGTCGGCGCCACGGGGCAGCATGACATGGCGGAGGTTAGGCCAACTCATGAGCCGCTTGCAGGGCTCTGCGACATTCCGCACGCAATCCTGTGGGTTCAGTCTCGAGGCCGGAGACTCTAGCTGCCTACGTAATCAGCATCGCACCTGGGGCCAAGCTGTGGCTCTGGGAGACTGTCACTGGCTTGTAGCGTCAGGACAGCCTGCGGGCCATATGCCGGCGCTACATCCCCGCTGACAAGTTAACTAGATATGCGGTAGGGGAGGGGCCAGCAGCTGCCCCGCTGCAGGTGGCGGCAGGAAATTGAGGGGCCGCAAGGCCTTTGCGAGGGGCAAGGGCTGACCCTGCACCTCAGTGGGCACTTGTTTTCTTATTTTGTGACTTCTGCCTGTCTTGTGCTGTCGCAACCTGCCAGGCGGTTGCCGCACAGCCCTATCAGGATTGTGTCCTCTTTACCAAGATATCCCTGGGCCCCTTTCTTTCAGCCACCCGCATGCTCGGATTCTAGCGTTTCATTTACAGCCCGTTTACAGGTGCGGCATGACTGGCTCGTTTTGCACGCCAACAGAAACCACAAGAGACTGCTGAACAATTGTTTGCACCGGATCGGGTGGGTGCGACCGGAATTCATCTGCTGGATCCACCAACCCTCACACCTGGTCCAAAACATACAAGAAAGACACAATTGTTATGGTGGTCATCAGCAGCCAGGTCCCACCCATAGTCCAGGTGACCTGCATGCGGTGCATAAACCATGCACCAGCCAATTGTTGAGGCAAACCGTCTGTCTCTGCTGCCGATTCAGCCCCAATTCGTCTAGTGGTGGTTGATGCCCGCCTAGTGGCCGGCCCCCTTGTCGCTTACCAGTGGGATGAAGAGGGCTTACCAGTGGGATGAACAGGTACAGAAAGCGCAGGCCCAGGGAGAAAAAGGTCTGTCCACGCAGGCATGTCTTCACCGCTTCGGCCTCTAGGAAGGTGCTGTTATTGTCGCCTGCCAGCCCTGCTGGCGCCAAATCTGTGTTGGTGGAGTGGTGGTAGTGCACCGCACGCACAAGGAAAGGATAGTGCACGAATAGGCGCAGCGCCTGCATCGCAAAGAGTGCATGGTGCGCTCTTGTGCCATGTGTGGCTGGTTGTAAAGCCGGCAGCATTTTGGGCAAGCTACGTGCCTGTGCCAGTGCGAAGAAGGAGAGGAACAACGCAGCCACCGCGGTTCCCAGCTTGGCCTCGGGACCGATGATGCTGCTGCCGCCGGTCAGGGGATCCCTGCGGCTGCATGCGCGGAAATGCAAACATGGCCTTCAGTGCCCGTTACAAGATGTGGAGGGCCCAGGGCAGGCACAACCGTCAAAGCCGCTCATCCTGCTGCCACACAGCGTCGCTGTGCCATATGCGTGCCTCATCTGCCGCACCGCCTCCATCTTGTCGCCATCCAGCACCACGTTGATCAGGGTCGTGACCCTGCACTGGCAGATAGAGAGCCCGCTTTGCATGCATTGCATGGCACTGCCTTTAGCATGCCCCTCCCAAGGTCGCCTTGCCGGTGCTCACCCAACAGAGGCGCCCGTGCCAAGGATGGACGCAGCGGTGATTGGGTTCCTGCGGGCGCACGGTGACCTTGTGGATCCAGAGCGGCAAGTTTTGTAGGCAGCCTTGAAGCGTACCGCATAGTCTGCACCGCCAGGTTGAGGTCTGCATCACTACCAGAAGCCAGCACTGCCAGCGTGAACAGCTGCCGTGCAGTCTGCCCCGTCCTGTCCAGGCGGTGGTGACCAGCGCCACCTCGGGCCCCCCTGGCATGACCCGAGGCTCTGTCGTCTGTCAAGTGCCAGCTGTAATACCAGGCGTGGTAGAGGGAGAAAATTGCTAGGCTGAGCACAGCAAACAGCAGGTCCAAGGCCTGGGGAGTGGCCAGCCCTAGCGACAGCATGGCCGGGGCCATGCTGCTGGTCGACCCAACTGGAATGTTGGTCAATGCAAAGGCACACGTCTTGCTAGGCTGTGTAGGCCAAAATTCACTTTAGCATCCCGCCTTTCTTTTGCTGACCTGTCGCTCGTAACGCAGCAACGTGCACCTGCTGACGCTCAAGGACACGGGGGACAGCTACCTGGTCCGATTGGCGCACTTGTACCAGGTGAGCTGCCGCGACCAATGTTCAGCAAACAAGCTGCAACCTCTGCTCAAACTTGCTCCGTCGCTCCTTCGATGCAGGAGGGCGAGGACCCCGGCTTGTCGCGCCCCATCACTGAGAACCTGAACGCCGTGCTACAACTGCTGCAGTACCGCGAGGTGTGTGCCCCTGCTGGCAGGCAGTCTGCCGTGCCGCTTCCCAATACCTGCATGCTGTCCGTGTTTCCCACAGTGGCTGCCCGCCTGCAGATTCACGAGCTGTCGCTGTCGGGCAACCAGCTGCGTTCTGACATGCTGCGGGAGCGTTTGCGATTTGAAGCAGGCGACAGCCTGACCAACGATAGCTGGCCGGGCGCCGGCCCTGCCGGTGGGTTGCACCCTGCTCAGGAGCTAGATACGGGGGAGATGGCCAGGCTGCAAGAGGGGGCTCAAGTCATCGACTGCTCCAGTGAGTTTCATTCCATGCAGCCGTTGCTGGCAACGGGCAATTTGTGCCTAATTCAGGGCCCTGCCCTGGCTAGCGCCGACATTGGCCGCGCGCTGCTTCCATGGCTGCAGGCGGATGCAGCAACGGCGAGCTGCTGGTCACGCTGAAGCCAATGGAGGTCCGAACCTTTCAGCTCATTTACCGCCCCTACTAGAGCGCCTTAACCACGGCGTTCTGCTGTTGTTGTTGTTTTAGCATTGGAGGTGCTCGCCTGCTGCTTTTGTTTTCAATCAACCAGATCGGTTCCGTTCGAGTGCAAACAAGTGCACAGTGCAATGGTGGGCAGCCGAGTCGACTTTCAGGAGGTCCCACTCCAGGACATAAACGCTGTTCAGAGGGCGGTTGGGACGTTAGTTCATGTGCGAACGCGAATTGGTAATCTTCATCGCGGGAATTACTCCGGGCGAAGGGGCGGCACGGCCGCCGCCCTCACCCGCCTCCCTCTTCCTGGGCACACCTGCAGGCTCTGCACCTGGATGATGTCACCCGACACCTCAGCAAGCCTGGAAACACAGAAGCATTCATGCGCTCGTTGCTGCAGTCTTACCTTTGCACACCCAACCAGACGTTGCTCGCGGCGCCCGATTTCCGGCAAGCCTGGCGCCTCAACCAGCCCTTCAGTAGACCCGTTCAGCCGCTTTCATTTCATTTGCATTTGCAACCAGATGACTCAAAAAACTGGACGCCCTTGCCTGGATGCAGATGCTGCGCGCTGATCGCAGAGCTGCATCGGCAGCATGAGGAGCGTAGCAACGACCAGGGCATGGCAGCAGAGGCAGCAGAGGCAGACACATACACACGCAGCGACCGTGCTGAGGCATTAGCCCAGCTGAAAGATCAGCTGCAGCTGGAGAGCCTGGTTCAGGTGAGGCTGTGTTTCGCTTGTTTTGTCAATTCAACTTTGCCTGTGAAAGCATGCATCCCCCAGCGTCTCCTAAGCAGTTCTCCACGCCCGCAGGAGCATGGATCTGCTATCTGCATCCACTTTATTGCATCGCATCCTGAGTGGCGGGGGCAGGGCCTGGGGGCCAAAATGATGTGCCACATCTGCCAGCTGGCTGACAGAGGCCACAAGCCGCTCTATTTGGAGGCCACCAGCGCCAGATCGCAGGTAGGTGTCGACTGAGTGGGCACTGGCTGGAAGGCGGCTGTCGCCTGCGCGCTCAATGGTTGGTGGTTGCCACCCCGCGCAGGCGCTGTATGCCAGGCACGGCTTTGTGCATGTGGCAGATAAACCTCTCGACAGAGAGGGTCCTGTGTTGCGGGTCATGGTGCGTGTTTCTCGAGCAACGTAAATTGAAGTTACATACAATGAAATGAGCTCCGGTCAACAATCAACAGTTCTGCCATACAGGTGGGGCCATGGCAGGGAGTGGCATGGGGATTACCCTGTATCAACGGCCTGCACGGAACTGAGGCCACTTGCCAAGCAAAGCAGAGGGCAGTGCAACAAAAGGGGAACAAAGCCTGGCCCCCTTCAAAAACTCACAAATAAACAGACAACATGCGAGAGATATGCAGCCAGCTTATAGTCACCAACCTACACGATGCGGTAGAGCACCCGATTTTTGCCGCTAAGAGGGAGTGTTGCGACACGTATCCCTGGATCCTTGGCCACCAAGTACTGCAGGAAGTGCTCATAGCTGGTCACCGACCGGCCGCACAGCAGCCGTCTGCAGCAAGAGGAAGGGAGAGGCGACAGGCCAAACTGTTTGGGGAAGCTGCATTCGGGTTTGCAAGCACCTCTTTTGGCCAGGTATCAGTGCACATCACGCATCAACAGTGCAGCTGCAACACATCAAGCCATCGGGCCAATCACCATTCGCCAGCGCCCCACCCAGCCCGCCAGCTGCCTGCACCTGGGGAACTCGCAGCTGTAGACGCAGCAGGGCACCACCGCAAAGGGCTTGCCATGAGCGATTGCCAGGTCAACAATGAACTCTGCACGCATCCAATGGGTGGATGCGACGTTGGGGACGGCAGGGCGACTGGCCCGTCCCAGTAGGGCATGTGCACGACCTGCGCACACCCAGCAATCCGCCACCATGAAGACAAGGGCAACGCGGCCGCACCTGTGGCTTGGTCGGGATACACGCCCACAATCACGCTACATTGTGTCAGGCGGTGCCAGGCCGTGGTCGCATCGCACACCTCTGGCGCGTGCCGCTGCTCTAGCTCCTGCTGCAGCTCACTTTGCTGCTGCAGCTCCGAAGTCAGGTGCTCAACAGACGGCTGGGCATCAGCAGCGCTCCTCATGTTGGAGCTGGCTTCAGCAACATGCGTGCCTGCGGTGCCTGCCGCCCACCACCGCTGGTCCTCATCCTCTGAGTCGCTTTCCACTGGGATGCTCCATGCCACCGCCTTCTTGCGGCTTGGCTGAGCGAGCTTGTCAACTGGCGGCGGTGTGACCGCTGCCGGGATCGTCGCTATGCTGGCCACCAGACTGACTGGCTCCTCACTTACGCCATCCACAGCATCTTGCTGCACCGTGGATACCTTGGGCTCGTGCGGGGCCACTGGCATGTGCCACTTGCCGTGCTGGGCCTGGCGCCGGGCCTGCAGGGTGCATGCCCCGCCGCAGGCTCGTAAAAGATGGTGGCAGGGCAAACCCATCAACCCACCCCGCAATTCCCACTCGCCTGCTCAAACACTGCTGGCCACTGCGCTGGTACGTCCCACGTGGCTGCCGGTGGCTGAAGCTCCTTCCGCTGCTCATCAAGGTCCAACAAGCTGCTTTCAGCCGCGCACACGCGGCCGCCACAGCTGCTGCTGCTCCTGCTGCTGGCACGCTCCCTGGAGCTGCCGCCACCCATGAGGCACGCAGCCAGCGCGGGGGTGATGACCAGCCGCAAATGGTCTGGCAGCAAGGCCCCAGTCACTGGCTGCGCTGCCGTTCCCTCTCCAGCATCCTCCTGTGCCTGCTGTGACAGGTTCTGCCAGCATCGCTGTGCTGCCGCGGCCTGCTCCACCGAGAGGCCAAAGCTAACCCGCTGGCGATCGTTGTAATGCGCAAACGGTTGGTTCCAGTGGTAGAATCCAGCCTGTGGCAGGGTAGCCAAAGCAGGGTGGAAGTCGTAAATGGAGACGTTCTGGTTCGCGGGATTGGCATTCACTCCTCAATTTTGTCTTCCACCACGCACCAGCAACCACTTGATGCGTTTGTGCAACTCCAGCGGGCGCGGCTCCAGCACGGTGGCAGGGGTGCCGTTGAGGTTGCAGAGTTCAAATGCGAGCTCGCCCGAGCCGCCAGCCACGTCTGGAAAGGGGGGGGGGGGGGGACAGACGCACGCTCCTATTGATGCTGTCGGCGCCTGGGAATGATGCCACACACACGTCGTCAAGGCTCGGTGCTCACCTAGCACGCCCGCGCCTTCTCTGAGCTTCTCTCGTCCAAAGGTGTCAATCAGGAATCTGCGAACCAGGTGACCAGCGCTTCTTCAGCTAGTGTTCAAAAGGTGCTTGGCAGCCAAGCCTCGGTCCCAAGCCACAAACCCCCTTTCTCACCTGCGGAAGGCACTGGCCCTAAACTTGTTCTTGGACTGTGACCGCCGCTGCGCCGGTCGTCGCGCAGTACCATCGCTGCTGCTGCCGCCGCCGAGTGCCGCCTTCAGTGCGGCTCTGTGGCAACAGCGGCAAGCGACAGTGTCCGTCATGCCACCAACAGCAGTCACAGGTTTGCTGCAATGCAAGGCAGGCATCTGCAGAACAAGCACAAATCTGGCAGCGCAACAGCTGCTGCTCACTGCTGCTGCGCCTGCTGCTGCCGCAGCGGCATGCCCAAGCATTCAATTGGGTGCTGGAAGATGCAGCGGTCACCAAAGACGCAAAAGCCCCGTGCCCGACAGCGCTTGCACACCTGCACTTGGGAGCAGCATTTCAACGCGTGACTCTGCAGAGAAGCGGGATTGAACCCCCAACCACGTCCCCCAAGTAAGTCTCCGGGGCCTGCTCACCGGTGCCTCTGCCGCAGCGCCCTTGGGTCCTGGTGGCAGCCTCGCCTTGGCGCAGCTCAGGTGTCTGCGTTTGTAAGCAGAATAATAAAATACACAAGCATCAAGTGGTGCACTTCCTTTACCTTACCTTCGGAGCGCACAAAGAAATAGGTAGTGCACTCCCGGTTGACGACGACGGGCAGGGTTTGGGCAGGGCAGCAAGCAGGGCGACTCACTTGTGGGAAGCGCCATCATCATCCTTCTACAAAGAGAGAGAGAGGGGAAACAACCGTGGCCGTGGCAGCTTTGTGGGCTGGGAGAGGAGTGGCCAGACTGCGGCCAATAACGCTGGCACTCACGCTGCACGCTCCGCTGCCACTCACCATGCGTTGCCCGGGGTTGATGAAAGAGTCGGAGGCCAGGCAAACACGGGACTCCAGGCTGTTTCCGCCCCAGTGCATAGCCAACAAGACGAGTCATGAGCTGCACCTGGGTGCATCAGGGGAAAACAGTGCTGCTTTATACGCGGGCTCAGAGTACTGCCTCGCTCGGATGTACTGCTCGCCTGGTGTGTCGCCATTCTCTGCTCCTGTTTGCCACACCCTTCTTTAACCTCTCTTCATCTTGCCTCCCACTCCAAGGTGCACAGCGGGCCATGGCGTCGGACCGGCTCGAGAGGCACAGAGTGGGCACCCTTTGCTCCCTGTACCTGATTGAGCAATACATCGATCGTGAGGCGGAGGAGAGGCTGTTGCGAGATATCAGGGCCAGCAAGCAGCAGTGGAAGGCCGTGTCCGGTCGGTGTTGCCGCTGCCTGCCGCTCAGGCGAGCGCGTGGGCGGGGGTGCGGGGGCGGGGCATACAGTTGTTGGTCGTGGGCCGCCTACCCCCACAATTTGCCTATGACCTTCCTGCAGGACGCAAGCTGCAGAACCTGGGAGGGATGGTGCACAAAAAGGGACTGGTCCCGGCACCGATGCCCAGCTGGTGCACGCCGCTGCTGGCCCGGCTGGCATCCGAGGGTGTCTACGGTGGACAGCTACCTAATCACGTGCTTGTGAACGCCTACCAGCCTGGGGAGGGTATTTTACCCCACGAAGATGGCCCGCTATATTACCCAGCAGTGGCGATCCTGAGCCTGGCGGCCCCTGCAGTGGTGCGCTTTGTGCGCAAGCGTAGCGCGGCAGAGGCGCATGCAGGTGGGTGCTGCCCATGCGTCAGGCCATGGCACAGGCCTGGCTGCGTCGTGCACTGCACGTGCATGCATGGTTGGATCTGCGTGCACCACCTTGGCACGGTGGGGGAACGCACAGATCCTGCTGGCTCTTGGGGGCCATGTGCAATGCAGCTGCGGCATTGGCCATGGTGGGCGAAGAACCGCACCAATTCAGCCATCAGCTGGTAGCGTCTGTGGTCTGCCAGCCCCGCAGCCTGCTCATCTTCAGGTAGGCTGTGGGCGTGCACAAGTGGAACCAATGCTTTATCGCCTCTAGTCTCTGTTTTCCCAGGGCTTATGTTTGCTGCCTGCCACAGAGACGAAGCTTACTCGGACTGTTTGCACGGCATTCTGGAGGCGGAGGTGGAGAGCATAGATGCTAGCGTGGTCAATGCACAGCAGGCGGGGTTGGCAATCGGGCAGGATCTGCCGCGGGGTGGGGAGCGGATATCGCTGACCGTGCGCCGAGTCCTGCACACTTACAGCTTGGACATCCGGCTGTAGGCCCGCATTGCGCTTGCCCTTGCTGCCTGTCGTCCTTCTTCCTCATTTACAAATGAAACAACAATCGACAGGCCGGCATGCTCAGGTAACCAGGAAGCATAGCCAGGGGATAGAGGCAAGCAGCCAATTGTATGGGAGCAGGAGCAATGGAGCAATCAACGTTCGCGCCTGCAAGGTCTATACAAACAGAAAAAGACTGAAAAACATGGCAACACACCATGTCAGAGTGCACTTCGCTGTTGCCTTTGCTGTGCTCACTGCGCCCCCATCTCCCTTTTGAACATCTCTATAAGCTCGACTTCCTCCTTGCTGCCCAGGTAGATGGGAGCCCTGCAGGTGGACGGACCCGGAGGGCGACAGAGGGGATTGAGATCTCTGGGCACGTGTGCAAGCAGGGCGAAACCCTAGCAAGCCCCACGCAGGAGTGGCCCCAACCGCACCTGTCATGAATGGAGTCGGGCATGGTCTCCAGGCTGCGCTGGGTTCCTGTGATGGCCTTGCCGCCTGCCTGCTCAACCAGCATAGCCATCGGGAAGCACTCATACAGCACACGCAGCTTCCCCTGCAGGCATTAGTGGCAGGTGCAGGCTCTCACTCGCATATGGCCCTCGTCCCACCAGGCGATGTCCCCCCCCCCCACACACACACACGCCCATGCTTTACAGCGCAGAGGTGCCCTCCTGGCCCCGGCTTGCCTTGGGGTTCTTCTTATCGGCCGGGTACATGAAGATGCCGCCATAGAGCAGGGTGCGGTGCACGTCGGCCACCATGGAGCCCACGTAGCGCAGGCTGTACGGCTTGCCGTTGTTGTACGTGCCCGCCTTGCACGCCTCCACGTACCTGCAAGCAGTACAGAAGCCGTGCGTGGCATCGGTGGGCTGCAGCAGCATCAGCATCAAGCTGGCATGCAAATGCCGGTTGGGGCCAGACCAGCATCTGAGTTGTTGTGCCGCTGCTGCGCTGCTGCCGCCCCAGTGCTTTCAACGCACTTCTTGGTGGCCGCATCCCAGTTGACTGCGTTGCCCTCGTTGATGGAATAGATCGGTCCGCGGCTGGGCACCTGCACTTTGGGGTGCGTGATCACGAACTCGCCTGCACGGGAGGGAAATGAACCACAGCATTGTGAATGAGAGGCATGGTCTATCTAGTTTTGCAACGCAACTAGTTGCCTGCCCAGACGCCCATCTTGCTCAGCCAGACCCACCCCACCCCCCACCCCCACCCACCCCCACGTACACACACACGCACAGCGCCTTCTCAGACACTCACCCAGCGTGGGGTCCAGAGTGAATCCAGCCACGCCCTTGCCCGTGGTGATCATCATGTAGCTCATGCTGCCATACATGCAGTACCCAGCCGCAACCATCTCCGTCCCTGGCTGCAGCAGTGACAGGCAGGGCATGGCGACCGCGGGCAGGTAAAAAGAATGAGCAGAGAATGAGTCGCTCTCCCTGCCACTGGCACAGGCTACCCACCCGCATCACGTCCTCCAGCGAGTAGTTGCCCGACCCCGGGTTCTTCGCCTTGTATATCCCAAAAATGGTGCCCACTGAAGGGGGGAGGTGCAGGGGCAAGCAGGTAGGCAGCAAGCGCGCGGCGAGGGCTTGCTGGTTGAAGAAGGCTGCACTTTCAGAGCGCCAGCTCTCCAACACCAGCTCTCCTGCCCCTTCCCTTCCCCGAGCCGCTCCGAAACGCCACACCTGACACGCCACAGTCAATGTTGGATGAGCCGTCCAGCGGGTCAAACACCACCACATAGTCGCCGCGGTGAGGCTCCTCAATGAAGATCGGCTCCTCCTCCTCCTCGGTGATCTGCAGTGGTTGGTGGCGGCGGCGGCAGGTGACGGCAGCTGGGTGGGCGGAGTGGAGTTGCGAGTCGAGTAGCAGCATCAAACACGCTGCTTCAAGGTCTACAACTGGAGCCTGCGTCCAAGCGAGCGCAGCCACTCATGACGCTCACCAGGATGCAACACTGCCCGGAGCGGCGCAGGCTGTTCTTGAACACCTCGTTGGCCACTAGGTCCAGTTTCTTCTGGTCCTCACCCTGCACATTGCTGCTTCCCGCCATCCCCATCATGCCGGCCAGGCCCGCCTGCGGCAGCATCGGCAGCAACAGCTGTAACGGCACCGCCCAACCTGTGTCAAGCCACAGGCTGCGCTGCTATGAGCTGAAAGTTGCCAACACCAGCGTGCATGCCGCTTGACCAACTGCCCCTCGTCAAATCTCTGCGCGCTGTTGCGCACCCACCCGGCGCACTGCAGAGCTGACAAATTTGCAGCCCACGCCGATGGCATTGAGCAGCACGGTGAGGCGGCCACGGGCATTCGGGGACTTGTGCTGCTGGGTGAGAATCCAGGCGCTCAGAGTCAGCGGGTCGGTCTGTAAATCAGAGGGTGGGGCGGCGGCAGCGGTGGCAGGTGGTGCGTCAGCAGCAGGAGAGCTGGGCGGCCTCGGAGTGCACCAGCGGCCTTTGCTGCCTTGACCTGGACTCCAGCCTGTCGCCAGTGACGAGTTTGGGGTGACTGCGTGTGTGGATAACAAACCTGCAGCAGCATCGGATCGACTGCTTCTACTTGCGACATCGTTGATGGCCGTAACTGGGCCACGCAGCTGCTGTCAGAGTCTGTGCAGGAAGCAGCGGCAAAGGTCAGCGCCGCTAAATTTGCCACGGTAGCCAGGAGCCGAGCACGCGGTCTCATGCGCCGATGCCGATGCAAGCTGAGGCAAGGAGGACGTCGCAAGGCCACGGCAGTACAGGCGCACTACAGGCGCACTACAGGCTCGCTGGCAGCTTCTTCGCAGCGCCCTGTAGCACCGCGTTTCGTTTGCCTCCCGCGGCCCACCGGCACTTCAACCCCTCAGCCGTCAATTCTGCAGTCGCAAACCACTCGCAACAACTTTTGGCAACCACACTCCAGCGCTTCAGTTCTTGCGGCAGGAAGATCAACAGCTCAGGCGCCAACTGCGGCAGGCGCTTGTGCACTAGCACCAACGGCATGCAGGCCGGCCAAGGCAGCGCCGCAGTGCTGCTGACGGTGCAGGCGGCGGAAATTCGGCGCGTTTCGGGAAAAGGCCTACACCAACAAGTTGTCGGGCAAGGCGCATTCACCATTTCTGCCGTGGACAAGCCAGCGCCGCAGCAGCAACGTCAGGGCAGTGCCTCTCCTGCAGCACAGCATGCGGCCCGCCCGCCCGCGCCAGCTCCGGCCGTGCCAGCGCAGCCCACCCGCCAGCTGCGCAAGGGCACGCCCGATGGCCAGTACGACAGCGATAGCTCAGAGGGCGGCGACAGCGGCTCCTGCAGCATTGTGGCGTCTGTGGGCAGCTTTTCGTGGGAGCTGTTGCCAGCCAGCCAGACGCTCAAGGTGTGTTGCCGTATTGTTGTTGCCGGCGCTCTGCCTGCCGCCGCACGCCTCGTGAGTCACCTGGCGCTGAGAGGCAGCCCTTCCTGTCTGTGTTCACCCTCAGGTGGGTGAGCTGACTTTCGTCTTCAGCACGGATCAGCAAGACTCGTTCCTCTTGGGTGAGCATGCCCCTGGACCAAAATCCGAGCAACAGGGCGGGGTCCACCGCGAGAAGCAACGCCTGCTGATCCGCTCCTGCACATCTAGCCTGAAACTCCGTCCATCCCTTGCTGTGAGCGCTTCCACCTGCCTGCATTTCTGCAGTGACCCTGGCGATGAACACGGATGCTGAGGCTGTGGGGATGCTGGAGGCCATCCTCGAGAGCTGTACCACCTTCAGGCACGGCTACTTTGTTCGCCCTGGCTGAACTCTGCCGGTGACCGAAATGCCACAGTTTACGTGGCCTGCTATGCGTTGGGCTTGCTCGGTCAACCCGCCGATGGCTACCGGCGTACTGCAGGGAGTCTACGACGCTGCTGGCAGACCCTCGGGCACAGGCGGGGGAGGTCGCTCTCGCCGAGCACGCCTACAAGAGCAGCCTCGCGCAAGGCGTGGAAGGCATGAGCAAGAGGCTCGCAACCGGCCTGCTGGTGAGTGGCAGGCTTGCCCTCCAGTTGTGCCACCTGCAACATTTGGCAGCAGCTCGGCTGTCAGAGCTGCTCTGTTACGAGAACAAGCTTACCCACGCCTGTAGGCCTCGGCTGCCTATGCTGCCAATAGCATCACCAAGAGCGCTGCCAAGCTGACACCTGCGGAGCCCACCGCCACACCAGTGGCTGTCTCCCCCAAGCTGAAGAAGAGGTGGGAACACAGGCAACTGCGAGAGTGGAATGTTTTGGGAAGTTGAGCGCTAGCTGCTTTTGCACAGCCATCCTGACAGACCCGCACAAGCTGACGAGCCTTCCCGCTGCCCACAGGCTGCGCCAGACGGAGCGGATGGCAGGCTTCACAGCCAAGGCGGTGCATGGAGCCGTCAGTGGCCTGGCGTGGATGGGTGCCAAAGTCGCTGGTGGCGGTGAGTGTCGGACATGTCGTGCCGCAAGGGAACGTTATTCCCCTTGCATTCTTGAAGCGGTCCTGATTTATCGAGGGTAGCTGATCTTTGTCAATGTCAAGGAGCCTAGATCCCCCTGTGGCCCAACATGCAGTGCTGCGGCTGGCGGGTGCAAACAAGCCGTTGAAGCCAGGGGAGGAGGCAGGCGAGTAGATAGCGACACCTACACACTTGTGATATAGTCTACAAGTCTGTTATGTGCCATAAGTCAGTCTCATCACTTATTTGACCACCCTGCTGACGGGTGCAGGCACGCTGCGCGAGATGGCGCAAGCCTCGGTACTTGGCTTCGGCGAAGTATGGGATGCGATGGAGAGCGCGGGCAAGGTAGTCTTGCTGTCAAGTCGCGACGGTGTTTCTGACGTTTTGCGTTTCAGGTGAGTGCAAAAAAATAAAATAAAATAAAATAAAATAAAATAAAATAAAATAAAATAAAATAAAATAAAATAAAATAAAATAAAATAAAAAAATAGGAGGTGAGTGCAAGAATGCATAAAGATTCAACCTTTTTGGCCGATTTGTCCTGCACCATGATGTCAACGGCAGGCTGTCTGCTGGGCATGATGTAGGTATGGTGACGATGCTGCGGAAGCGAGCGTGAGCAGCATGAATGCGGCGGGCCACTCAGCAGATGCGCTCTATGCAGTGCGCAAGATTGGCGTGAAAACAGTGGCCAAGGCAGCAGCCAAGACGACAGCCAAAGGCGTTCTACACCAGTGGGCTGGCCTGGAGGGCGGGCAGGTCAAGACCAGCAGCACTCCCGCCCCGCTGCCTGCCACGCCCACCGCCCCTGGGCCGTAAGCAGAGAGTCACATGACTGTACAGTGTGATGACTGAACAGACAACCACCCATACAAGCAGCCATTGCGACTTACAGGCCCCAGGCGACTACCGCGCCGCAACCGACGCGATGCCGTACCGTAACTGTACCATGGCAAGTTTCTGATGGTCAGGTCCCGCAGGAAAGCGTTGAACGATGCTATCAAAGATAGCTACCATGCCGAGCAGGGCCCCCCTCGCTGCCCTTGCCCGCCTGCTCGCGGCAGCAGAACCCTCGTCACTTCCCGCTGCCCTACTGGCACGCACGATATGCAGTTCGGGTCGCCAAGCAGCACCATATCACCTCATGAGCTCGGCAGCTGTCCAGCCACGCGTTGCAGCCGCTGGCCCATGGCACTTGGTTCGCCGCTCCCAAGCGGGACACCTGCTCAGGCAGTTCAGCAAACATGCAGCAGCGGAAGGTGAATGCGATGTAGGCCTGCCGCGGCTGGGGCCTGGACCCGCCTGCCCTCAGCCACCGCCCCGCCTCGGCTGCTAGCAAACACTCTGACACTTGCGCCGCACGCGTTCTGTGTCGCACCATGCAGAGGCGGGCATCCAAAAGGCGGTGGAGGACACGCTGCGGCCCAAGGTGCTGCGCTTTTTCGCCTTCATCATGATCTGCAGCGCAGGTCTCAACGTGGTGCCTGCAGTGGCGGCACAGTCGGTGGGCAACTGCCTAGCGTTGCTGGATGCGCAGCAGCCCTTCATGGTCAAGGCCGGCTGCAGCCGGCTGCAGCTGCTGATGCGGCTGGAGGCGGCGCGGCAAAAGGCGGTGGAGGTGGGAGCGGCGCGCAAGCTGCTGGGCTTGGTGCAGCGCCCCGATGCAGACCATGGTGAGGGAGCGGGGGAAGAGGGGAGGAGGGAGGGCGTCTGGCGCACAGAGGCACCGTGGCGTCTCGCCGCACCTGTCGTCATCCAGCGATGATTCTCCTGGCCTGGCGTGCTGCTCGCTTGATTCGCTCGTGCTCGCGCTGTGCAGGCGTGGTGGACTATGCGCTATCCACACTGGAGGTGCTGGTGGCATCCGACGCGGGGCTGCAGTCGCTGGCGGACGAGGGTGGGGCAGCAGCGCTAGAGTCGTACCTGGCGGGCGTGGAGCAAACACCGTTGACGGAAGATGCCGTGTGGCGCGCGCAGCAGCTGCTGGCGGCACTCGGTGCGATTTGAACACTGGCTGCGTTTCAATGAATACATCCTCCTGTAAGTTCGGAGGTTATCCAAGTTTAGTTTTCCTGTTTTTGCACTTGCCGCGAGCTCGCTCGCTGGAGCAGCTTCCTTGGGCGCTCCTGCCCGCCGGCCGCCTGGCGCCACCGCTTTTTCCTGCATGGAGTTGGCGGGAGTCTGCCCGCCCCCCCCCCCATCAACCGTGCATACACATAACGCCGCAATGGCACAGGACGAGCGGAAAGTGGAGCAGGATGACGAACTGGATGCTCTGTGGAATGGTGAGCCGCTCAGCACAGCCACCGAGACTGACAAATTAGGACACGGAGTGCATGCCGCTTTGCCGCTGAGCGTGCTGCCGCAGCATCTCTGGCTCCCACCGCCCGCCCGCCCGCCCACAGTTGAGCCGCCGCGCCGCCAGGCCGTGCAGCAGCCACAGCATGCAGATCCCAGCAGCTCCGAGGAAGACAGCTACTTCCAAACGTCGCAAGACGAGAGGTGCGCTGCTTTGGGGAGCGTCCTGGGTGCCATGGGCGAGATTGCTTGTGTTCTTGCTTGTGTTCGAGTTCTTGCTTGTGTTCGAGTTCTGTCCGTCTCTGCAAGGTGCAGCGAGGACAGCGCCGTGCAACAGGCTAGGGAGGCGGCTGCCCGGCTGAAGGACTACGGGGAGGATTTGGAGGCGGCGACGGCACAGCAGCCGCGTGCAGCGGCGGGGGCACTGCCGTCTGCGGCGGCGGCCTTCAACTCGGTGGACGGCCCACCTGCTTACCTGGACCCCGAGGTGCTACTGCTGCTTGCTTGCGTTGCTGGTATTGCAGGCTGGTGGATGGCGCACGCACAGGCCCTCTGCCTCGCATCCCCGGTCAGCCATTGTCCTGCACCCTTTTTGCCTAATGCTCCTGACCCCCTGTCCTACAACCTTACAGGCCACGCGGCCCCTGGCGGTGGCAGTGCATAAGGCCGTCAACAACGTGGGAGCAGACGGTGGCTCTTTGCCCGACCCGCACTCTCAGAACCGGCTCATGAACAAGCGGGGGCAGGCGGTTGGGGAGTGGGACGTGAGCCAGATGGCACCCAAGCTAAAGGAGCAGTGAGTGAATGGGGCACAACCTGCTATTGTGGGGGTGCTGCCGCTGCTGCTGTGCCGTAGGGTAGACTCCCGTCATGCTGCCCATCGCCACTTGTAAGCCGAATCCATAATGCCGTGGAGTGCTTTGTCGTTAACGTTCAGCTTTTCTCCCTTTCCTTGCGCAGGCAAGGAAAGGAAAAAGGTGTAATTACTGGTGCTGCGGTACGCTTCCGCACTGAGGACAGGGTTGGCACCGTCAGCGCGGCGCAGGTGCGTTGGTGGTCCTGGCGCTGTGGCGCAGTCGAGCTCCCAATGTGGCCAGTTCCAGCCATCTTTTCAGATGCCTGCTGATCTGTGGTGGTGCATGTGCCCTACCGCAGATTGCCATGCTGGGAGGGCAGTGGGGTGGAGACGAAGGGGTTGAGGAAGAGGCAGCGGGCGCAGGTCCCAGCGCCAAGCACCCTGTGCCCAAGGGCAAGCCCAGCAAGCCCATGGGCGTGGATGAGTTCTTGGACAAGGGCGTGGGCGGCGCGCTGCTGCCACGCAAGCGGTGCGTTGCCTGCCTTGCCTGCTGCGCTATGCTATGCTGCATATGACGTGCAGCTTGAAGCAGCTCGGTCGTGTTCTCTGCCATGATGCAGTACGGTGGGTGCAACTGCCGTCTTTCATTTTCAGCTCGATTGCCCGCTGATGCCCCATGCCTGTGCAGGCAAGACCGCAAGGACAAGGAGAAGGACAAACGGGTGCGGGGCCAGAGCACGCACGCCAACTGGAAGTCGGAGGTGGGGCTGCGACCTCGGTGGAATGTCGGAATGTGCACAGCACATTTGGTGGCTGCTGGACTGGGATTACATCACGTTGCTTGCTTGTTTGCATTGCTGCAGGCAGAAATGGTGCTGCGCCAGCAGTACGACTGAGCTGGGGAGCTTTTTGGCACGCCTAGCTTTGTGCTGACATACAATTAACGGGGTGGTGGATGGTTTTCCACCTAGCAGCTCCTTCTGTCGAGCTGCCCCCAACTCTGCCGCTGGTCGCGCGGCTGCAATGAAAGCTGGCGACTTCTTGTGACATGAGACATAGTGGAAACTGTTGTCACATGGGAAATACTGCATACTTTTGGTTGGCATTGGGATGCCTATCAGAGTGGTTCAGCAAATTCAGAACGAAACGCGGCAGAACCCTCGCGCTGCGCCAGTGTCAGTTCATCTTCAGACACAGTTCCTGACGTTGCCTGCTTCTGACTGGTCAGCATGCTCCGCGGCTGGCTGGGATGGTCGGCAGCCTGGGTCGGTCGGCAGCCTGAGACTCAGGGTGCGCGCTGGTGCCGATGGGGGGGCCGCCGCCTGCCGTGATTCTGCGTATTCGCCACCGCCGCCGCTGCCTGGCTGCAACGCATAGCCCTTGTATGCCTCTGAGCCATCCTGTTGAACAGGCTGTTGGGTCTGGGCTGTAAAAGTTGCCGTTTTGTGCCTTACTGACTGCAAATGCAGTGGTATACCATATGGCTTTGGCATCTGTTGTTGGCAAAACAATGGGGGTCAGCAGTGGCGTTGGCGGTGTCAATGGATGAGAGGGAGAGATAAGGAAAGGGCGAGAGAAAGCCAAAACAAACAAATGGGGCAGCCGAGAGAATGAAAAATGAGGTGGTACAGTTATTCCTTGTCAAAGAAATGAAAGGGTACGGTGCAAGACAACGGTACAATGGGCAGGAGTGCTCAGCATTGCGCGGGAAAAGCACGACATCAAGCCCGTGCAGGAACTGCAAGTTCACCAGCCGCAGCATTGTGCGTCATGAGTGTGTGTCATGAGCCAGTGGTCGCGGGCGCTGGGGGCGAAGTGAAGCGCGTGAAGGGTGACGAGCGGGAGCCAGAGGAGGAGGTGAGCACCAGGCGCCGCTGTAGGCTGCCCGAGCTGTCCTTCTCGCGGCGCGAGCGGCCGCTGCGGCTGCCCTGCGATCGCCCCGTGCCCGAGCTGGCGCCAGACAGGGGGCCGTGCGGCGAATGCACCCCTTCCCGGGACAGTTCCTCTGTCAGCTCAGTGACCAGGCTCTCCTCCAGGGCTGACTGCACGGAAGGGGACGGGGCAGGCCGGGGTGGCCGCCATGCTCCTGCCCCCGATGCCCTGCCTCCTGTCCGTGCGCCTGATGTTGGGGCTTCAGATGCGTTGCTATAAGGCCCCGCATCATGCTGCTGCTGCCCGTCCAACTGCTGCTGCTGCCGCTGGCTGTCGAGGCTGTTGCGGTGGCTGCCGGGCTGCGCGCCGGCGTCACCAACGCTGCTCTTAGTGAGCGGCGCATTACCGCTAGATGGGCCGAAGGCTCCAAAGGGCGTGGCCAAAGCAGAGGGCGAGGACAGCGCGGCCCCCGACCCAACAGACTGCAGCACCTCCAGCTGCGGCGGCATCGCATTGGCCTCTATCAGCCGCTCCACCAGCTCCGTGGAGGTGGGGCGCAGGGCGGGGTCGGGACTGAGGCAGCGATACATGAGTTGAACCACCTCGGCAGGGCACTCCTCGGGCACCCTGCGGGCAGGGAGGATCCGAAGGCAAAAGTAGGGCGCGGGCAGAGGGTAAAGCTCATGTGTTGACCCCCCTGCCAGCCTAGCAAGAAACGCCGCTCACTTTGGGTCGCGCAGCTGCCCGCGCACAGGTAGTTTGCCGGTGCAAATCTCCCAGAGGACCACTGCGGACAAGGCAGGCAGGCAAGCAAAGACGCAAGTGCGTGTGAGCAGCAAGGGGTGCAGGCTGAACATCATGGAGGATGCCAGCGGCGAACGCAGATTTTCTAGAAGGGTCCCAGAGCCAGCGAGCCGCGGACCTCCAAAGGAGTAGACATCGGCCTTGGCGCCGCACCGCTGGCCCATCAGCAGCTCCGGCGCCGACCTGTGATCGCAGAGGGCAAGGCGGGGGGAACGGGGAAATGAGGGCGAGGTGCAGGCAGAGCGTGGGAGGCAGCGGCAAAAGGCCCATGCTCTCTGGAGCACTCTGCCCACTCACCAGGCCAGCGTTCCTACCACGCCCGACACATAATCGCCCGCCATGATCTTGGCCATCCCCACATCGCCCACCTTGGCGGTGCCATCCCTGCAGGCAACAGCAAATTGAGGGCTGCTGGCAGGCACCCCCAGCTCCCCCTGCACCAAACTGCCCTCACCCCACCTGCCCTCCTCCACACTGTGCTGCACCTGGTGCCTGACCCACCTGGTCAGCAGCACGTTTGCCGACTTGATGTCGAGGTGCAGGATGCGTCGAGAGTGGAGGTAGACGAGCGCACGAGCGACATCCAGTGCGATCTGCACCATACACAGCATTGCATGAGAAAGCGAACACAGGCAGGGAGGCCGCCAGTGCCAGACAGTTGGACGCAGGCTTACCTTTTTGCCTTTGCGGTACCAGCTGACCTTCTTGCCACGCAGATTGTGGGTCAGGTTGCCGCCCTCCATGTACTCAGTCACCAGCAGCGTGCGCTGGTCCTTGAAGCAGGCACCCTGCAGGTCATGGACGGGAGGCAGTTGGCATGATATATTGTGCGGAGGACACGCCAGGAGAGGCTGTCATTGCAGGCCATGGCCCGGCGAGCCGGCAGGGGCGAGCCTCCCTAGGATCAGGCCGGCAGCATACATGTCTTCCAGCACCCGCCCACCTGGAACTGCAGGATGTTGGTGTCTCGGCAGGCACGCAGGATGGAGATCTCCTGCACAAAGTCTTCATCAGTCATGGATTTGAGCACCTCGGAGTTGACCTGCAGGTGGGTGGGGAGGGGCGGGAGCCAGATGTCAAGGCCACACAGGCCAACAGTACTAGTTTTTGGACTAACATGCAAATTGAATGGTGGTGGCAGCAGGGGCGGCGCAGCCACTCACGGAGCCCAGCGCCTTGACTGCCACAGGCTGCACTCCGTTGCGCATGGCTTTGTACACCTGCAGCGCCAGCATCAGGGAGAAAAATTGTACCTCCAAGACAGAGAATGTGAGAAAACAGCTGTTAACAGTTGCAGCCCACCTAAACTCACCGTGCCAAAGCCGCCAGAGCCAAGCTGCCAGTCTGCGCCATCCGGCCGCCTCAGGATCTCAATCTCTGCAGCAAAAGTACCATTGCAGCACGTCAGGATGCAAACGGATGTTTGCGGGGGGCTTGATTTGAAATCAATGCTGAGCAACAAGCCAACTTGACCATCCGCAGTTGCAGGTGGCAGCAGCACGCACCCTCTGGCCGTATCTCCCAGTCTGACAGCTGGAGCACCGACTGCTCCTTGGCAGACAGGCAGGGGGTGCTGTCACTGCTGGCACCGCCCCCCTCCATGGAAGTGCGGCCTGACGGCTGCAACTTGTCGCTGGTTGCCCCAGCAGAGGGCTGCTGTGGCAGCGAGCAACCCGAAGGGTACTGCTGTAAAGCCTGCTGGTAGTGGGGCAGCCACAGCGGGGCTGACTGTGCCCCCATGGACCCCCCTGCTGTGCTCATTGACGGCAATGCCTCGAGCTCTGCTGACCGGGCTTCTCTAAGGCAGGAGAGGCCCACAGTGCTGCGATACATCCCAACCCCGTTCTGCCCGACCGCCACGATGGCCGCGGCCGAGCCTGCACTGCTTGGAAGCTGAGGCGACGGCTTGCCGCTTGCCGGGTAAAACAGACCTGTCTCGGGATCCTGCAGGAACAAGGCACCCATGTCAAGATGGTCGACAGGCAGCACGCAGGCAAGCATACCATCAACTCTGCTCAACGGTGGGCAATTGCGCAACAGCAGGCCCCCAACAACAGGTGGGGCTATGTTTGCTGGTGCCTGCGTGGAGCCTAAAGCCATGGCCAAGAAAGCTGGCTTACCTGATAAAAGCTCTCTTTGGCGCTTGCAGCATGTTGCTCAGCAGCTCGTCGGCGCTGACGTCGCCGCCACAGCAATCCCGCCGCCACGGCGGCCACCACACCCGCCACCGCCACAGGCACCGCCACCGCGGCAACGGGGAAGCTGCTGCCGCCATCAGAGCTCCCGGATGGTGGCAGAGCTGCGCAGGCGGCGGTGTCGGATGCTAATGTGTCCAGGCAGAGCACATCTTCTGCGGCGCAGACCTGAAAGGGCGCTCCGGCTGGCGCCGTCGGACAAAGGTCTGGATTGCCGGGTTGAACAATGATGTCCTGCAGGTTTGCCAGCTCAGACCAGCTGGCGGGGATGGTGCCACTGAGGTCATTGCCGTAGATCGTCCTGCAGTCGCCCCCCAAAAGGCGTGGCAATCCATTAAGGGGCTGGGCGCGTAGCAGAGCCTGGGGCACACGCATGCGGAGTGGCAGCAATAGCACAAAACACAAGCCCAGCATAATGTTACGGAGGGCTCACAGGGCACGTAAGTTCCTGGGATAGGGGCCCCATTCCGGCAGTGGCCCCGACAGCCCCGTGTTGGACACATTCAGGTCCTGTAGCTGAGGCAGTGAGTCGTTTGCTGCGCCCCAGGCAGCAGGGAGGGTGCCGTTCAGGCCGGGGTTGTCTGATAGCGTCAGCTGCTTCAGCACAGTGAAGGACCCAGGCTCGCCCCACTCTGGTGGCAGTGTGCCAGTCAGGAGGTTGCCATGCAGCGTGCTGCAGGAGTCCAGTGTGTTGAGGGTGGAAGGCAGGGTCGTCAGAGCGAGTTGATTGCAAGTAGGAGCAGCTGAAGCGGATGGGTCCGAGGCTACAAAAACATCAACACTGGGCAAGGCAGCCTGTGCTCACAGATACTCTAGCGCTTGGGTTGCATTATAGGAGGAATTCCAGAAGTATCTGCAGAATGAAAGGTGGCAGGCGGTGGTGGTGATTGTGGTGTGCGTGGGTGGGTGGGGCGTAGGACCGCTGCCAGTTAGCCAGCCTCACAGTGAATGGGCCCTCCTGGCTCGTCTCAGCTGCGCCCCGCCCCAAGCACCCAAAGCTTTGTGGCAGCACTGCCCCAGCTCACCCCTGCGTTCCCCAGTCAGATGGCAGAGTGCCTGCATCGAGGGGCGCAAAACAAATGGCAGATAATCCCAGCAAACTCCTCAGACCAGCCTGTTTCCTCTTCAAATTGCAAAGCCGGTTCAAATTGCAGAGCCGGCAAAAAGGAGGGGGTCTGCCGTGGGGCCATCGCCATGCTGCCGCTGCCGCACCTGTGAACAGATTGTTCTCCAGCCGCACAATGGACATCGTGATCATGCCGTTGACGTACGAGGGCAGCGGCCCCGACATCTGGTTGTTGGCAAAGTTACTGCATGGGAAAGCATTGCCGCCGCCGTTGTCACACTGCTTTCATGGCACCTTCACCAAGCCCCGACTCCTTTCTCCAGCCCTACCCTGAAGCTGCTTTGCTGGCTGCAAGCTGCAACACAGATGCAAGCAAGCTGCTTGAGCATGCAAGACGACAACCGACACTGTAGGGAGACCAATGGGCTCGCGACTCACAATGACATGACACTCCAGAAGCTTGTGTTGGTGACAGCAAACCCGGCGGGGAATGGACCGCTGAGCCGGTTGCCTGCCAACTGCGGATGGTGGCAAGAGAGGCATTTGGCCAGCCACCTCAGGGCGCTGCTCAGTCGTGCAGCGGTACACGGGTAGTAAATACTGGAGCCCACTGGAGCCAACATCCTTCAATGTCTCACCTGCAGATCTGCCAACGTCTCAAAGGCCGGGCCTACTGACCAGACATCAGGCATGTTGCCCGTCAGCTGGTTGTCATTCAGGTTGCTGCAGGCCGACGAGGTATACCAGCAGGCGGGAGTCAGCGAGCGGCTGTGCGGCAAGGGTTCCAGCAAGCAGGCAACTTAACAATCTCGCCAGCCATGCTGCGGCAGCCTCACAGCTCAAGCAGTGCCCGGAAGCTGCGCGGCTCTCCCCACTCCAGCGGTAGAGGTCCCGACAGCTCATTGCCGTCCAAGTACAGGTAGGCTATGTGCTGCAGCCGGTGCAGGCCAGATGTCAGCTGGCCACGGAAGGGCACCGTGCAACTGCCTCGGCAGGGCAGGCGCCTGCAGTCAGGCAAGCGGGGGCAAACAGCATGCTGACAGTCAGAACGCTGACAACAGGAATTGACGTGCGACGATGCAGGTCAGCAACAGGATACCGTTGTGCATGTGACACGGCGCAAGTCCATTGCTGCTCAAGGCAAGGACAGATAGCCACATGCTTACAGCGCGGTCACAAAGTTGCCCGCCTGCGAGAGGTAAGGGTTGCACCTGCAAAAGGAGTGCGGGGCGGGGGGGTTGCCGCCCAGCCGGTTGGCCAGCCAGCCACACAGGCGGGGCATGCTGCACCCCAGACAAGTCTGTCGAGTCGTGGCGGTGCTGCGTTCCCAAGGCGGCCTGCATCAAGTGCACGAGGCTCCCCACCAATTCACACTCACTCTACACCGCTCCAGTTGCACAGGGGGAGGCAGTCTGGGTCGTCAGTGCATTGCGTCCACCCCTGCAGCCCCCGCGCGGCTGCCGCCTCATCCCAGTTGGTGATCCCAGCTTTGAACGTCAACAACAGATCGGCCTCTGCAAACAACAAACCAAAGCGGCGGCGGGGCGCCCTGGCAGAGGTGAGGCAAACGAGTGAAGATGGCACACCGCCGGCGGCAACAAAAAGCGGGGAGCCCGCTCTCAGGGGTGGTCTCGCCCGGGCCAGCCCCCGCCGGCCGCCTCACCGGCGACACCTTCCAACGCCCGACTCACCGCTTTCCGTGGCTGCACCCGTCGCCGAGGCGTCCATGGCCTCGCCGTGAAGCGCCAGCAGCAGCAAGGCCACCAGCGCCAGAGTCATGGGGCCCTGCTAAGCGTCTAGTGCTAGCCTGGGGGGCCGCGGCTGCGGGGTCTGTAGCAGAGAAGCGCGTGCCGGCTGGGGTGGGCACTCGGGCCAGCCTGTTAGACCCGTTGCGGGGACATTTCGCTTGGACAAAGGAAGTTGGCGGCAGGCGGCGAGGCCGGGGGGTTTCCGTCCCATGGGACGGCCCTCGTGGCAACTTGGCACCAGGGTGGCGCACTCGTCGAACCCCTGATTTGGATGTCTTCAGCCAACACGTCCAGACTGACGGGCAGCAACCACCCGCCGTGACACCGACGACGACCACCTCGCTTCCACCCCCCCCAAACGCCCGCTTGCAATGCATGCTTATTAGGTTCCAACCCTCCATAGGTTCCAAAGGACGGCGCCTGAATGGAGGGTGCAGGCGCCAGAATGGAGGGTGCAATAGTGGGATGCAGCGGGCGTGTGCACCCGCCGCTCCGCCCGCCGCAGCACCCCAAACAAGCCGCTCCAGCGTGGCCTGTTTTACATTGATGGTTAAAAAGGTGACAGCACTCCCGTGCGGAAAAAAAACAACAGGACAGCGCTATACACAAACCAGCAGCCACCGCTCCAGGCAGCCACAAAGCCAACGCAGGTCTACAAGGGATGGGGTGGATGGCGCAGAGCAGCGATTGTCATGAGTGTCATGTGCAGCGGAGCCTCGCACGCAACATGCTTGTGACAGAGCATGCAACAGGATCCTTGCAAAGCGTTGTGCATGCCCAAGCCCACGCCCGGCTCACCTGCACCAGCACTTGTGTCTCTGCCGCCATGCTTCCTGGCGATCCAGGGTGCAGAGCTGCAGGGCATGCAGGATGATGCTCAGTGCCAGTCAGCCCTATTGCACTCGAGCGCTGGCTTACAGCAGGGCCAGCTGTGACTGCAGCCTGGCAGATTGCCTAGCAGCCAACCTGAGTTGAGCAGCAGCAGGCCCAAACCCAAGTACAGGGCGGCGGGGGCCAGCAGCTGCACCCCCGCCTTGCCCAAAAGAAAGTGGATGGCCTGCACACAGAGGTCTCAGGCATGGGGAGCTTGGCAGGGCGCAAGACATGATGCAACACACTTACGCCAACACGGCAGTGGCTCATTCAGGTGTGCTAACGGCCACATCGGCTGAATAGCCATATCTTGTCGCTGCCAGGGCTGGCATGCTGTCGCCACCCACTTGGCAGCTGGCACGGATGAGGTCCCCCAGCGACTTCTTGTCGTCCCTCTTGGCTCGTGCGGCCAGGCTGCCATGCTTCAGCTGGTGCCAGCCTGCGCGGCAGCAACCGCCCAAACAGGATTAGCCGGATAATGATTGCCGGCCAATGCAGGGGATTGCTGCCCCCCCACCAATGCAGCCTCGCCAGCCAGCCCACCAGTCAATGCTCTGTCAAGGTAACGCTGCAGCAGCGTTCGCAGGCCCAGTGCCATCACTGTAGCTGTACATAGCAGCGCGCCCGCCTGCATAAAAGCAAGCTGTTGGTCCGACAGATCAAGGAGCTCCTGGCACATGGGCCGCACCTGCAAGTGGCGGTGCAGGCCAGGGGGTGCAGGGCAAGGTTTTGAGGATCCAGGTAGGAAGGCCAACCATGCACTGGCTGACAACAGCCTGTCAAAGGCACACAGACTGATACAGAGCCCTTCACTCGAAGACCTTGCCAACCTCACTCACCCACAGCAGCGAGCTCAGTAGTGGCAGCAGCAGCTGGAAGTGCAAGCTCGCAGTCATCAGGGCCCCAGGAGCAATGTAGTCGCTGGCCCACTCAGGTGGATTCAGTTGCAGCCAGAAGGAGTGCACGAAGCGCAATGCCGGTGCATACAGCAGCACGCTGACCACGGCGGCGGCCAAAGCCAGCCCAACTTGCAGTGTGGATGCTGCGCAACAGAGTGGGGGGTGAACAACTACGTGAGGCAGAGCTAGACCAATGGCAGAAAACATCATGGCACATGCCAAACATTTATTCTTCGCCTACGGTTGCCAGCGTGGCCACCTGTTATGGCTATCAGTGGGATGGGCGCTGTGCCTTCCTTAAGCTCCCTGCTGCCTAGCGCCTTGATTGCCTCCTGAACGGTGGGGCCCACAGCGGCGGCCGCGCGCTGCGTGTCCCATGCTAGCACATTGCTGCCCCTGCGCAGGGGCACAAAACCGCATGGCTGGGCAACAGGCAGCAGCAATGCAAAGAAAAGGTTGCAGCAGCAGGAGCACCGCCTCACGCTGGTTGCAACACATGCAGCGCCAGGGCGGCGGCAAAGCCGCCTAGCCCCCAAAACACCGCCAGCGCCTTGTTGGAGGGCGAGGTGGTGCTGGAGAGGAGGTCCACCTGGAAGGTGCAGGAGAGCACTGCTTGTTGGGGTTTTGGTGAGCGTGAGAAGCCATTGTGCCGGCAATGCTAAAGCATTGCAAGGAGGCGAGTGGACAAGACATGCGGCAAGTGCAGGGAGCGCCCACCTGCGCCAGCATGGTCAAGGCCACAACGGTCAAGCCAAATGCCAGCATGGAGGGCCAGGCACTGCCGGGCCAGCCCAGCAGCTGCTCCGCCACCTCAGCGGCGGCGGTGCTGGAAAGTGCAAACAAGCCGACAATAAACTGTAGGGCCAACCACGAGAGCGGGGGCAGGTTTTTGATCAGTAAACCTTTGCTGGCCCGGCATTGAGGTTCGTTCTGTTGCAGCAAACCCACCAGGTTCTCAAAGGATCCGCGGTATGTGAGCTGCGCCGCCTGCTGGGCGCTGAGCGGGGCCAGCACCAGCGCCTCGGCGCCGCCCAGATCTATGTCGTCATCCTTCTTGCCCCGCCGGGCCTTGACCCGCTTGCTGCCGCTGGGTGCGCCGACGGCAACGTAATAGCACCGCAAGCCGCGGAGGGCTCGCAGCGGCAAGGCCAGCAGAGTGTTAAGCAGCAGGCCAAGCACCAAACTGGGCACCAGCTGGACCACGTGTGAGTCTTGAATTCTGGTGGGCATCGTGCCTGTGGGCACTAGGCTTCACTACTGCTTCTCCAGTGTGCTACAGTAAGGGGCACGCAGTGTGCCTGCGTGGCAGCCGAGCCGGGCGGCGGCGGCGGGCCACCCCTTCGCGAGCGGGCGGTGCACGAGTCGAAGGGTTCGTTCCTGCAGCCTCTGTCAACCAACGGACAGCGGTGTTTGTCTCACATAAACAGCAGTTGACGCAGCGGTCTCTGGTGTGACGGCGCCGGGCGGTGGATGGATGGCACTGACTGTCGCTCTTGGCCGCAAGGAAGCTCTTGGCTGCGCAAAAGGCCTGCTTTTGAGCTCCACGGGAGGGTACCGCCGTTGTACATCCAAACGAAAAGATAATGTGAAAAGGAGCGAAGGAAGGGGCAAGGTTGTATTGACAGTGGTGGTAGCGCGATTTGTGGGGTCCAAGCGCAACGCCAATATGCAATCCCTCCTTGCGGCGCCCGCATGCTCGCTTCAGCCCTTCAGGAATGGGCAACAGCAGCAGCAGCAGCAGCAGGGAAATGGCAGGTGAGAGGGCTGAGGGGCCCAGGCCAGTTGCTGCTCAGCCGCTGCGTCGCCGCCGTCCAACCAAGGAGCTGGCTGCACCGCCCCGCACACGCCGCGGTCCTGCTTCTGCAGGCTGTTACAAGCTGCTGGACCAGCCCAGCGTGCGTGTCTCGCTCGGCGCCGAGCGCTGCAATGCCCGGTGCAGGCCATCCAGTCGGGCAAGGGTGCGCCACCGCTTGCCACTGCCTTCCGACCCTCAACAGTGCCCCGCCGTGGCCTGGCTCGCCTGCGCCCAGGTGGCTGCGCTCGTCAGCTTGATTGATTCCCCTTCTTGGTGCAGGCAGCACCCGGCAGCATGATGATGGTGGCGAGGCGGCTGCGGGTCTGGGCTCGGATGTTCCACCGCCACCCGCCGCGGCACCTCCCCTGGTGGGCAGCGTCACCGCTGCAGATGACAGCAATAACAACGAGTCTAACAGCAGCAGCAGCGGCAGCAGGGGCACCTCTAGCCCTGCCAGCAGCAGCAGCTCCGCCGCACCTGCCGGCGAGGCAGCCACTGGCGACGGCTGGCCCGCCTGGCTGAGCAAGAGCGACGTGGAGACGGTCGCCATCGCGGTGGCTGTGTCATATGCCATCCGCCTTGTGATTGCAGAGCCGCGCTTTATCCCCTCGCTCTCCATGTTTCCCACCTTTGACGTCGGCGACCGCCTGGTGGCCGAGAAGCTGACCTTTCGCTTCTCCAGGTGCGCTCTTGGGGCAGGGGCTGCCAGCTGGCTGGGCTACTGGATGGATGTGGGCAAGCAATGGCAGCACAGGCGGGAAAAGCGAAGCAGATGCTGATTTTGGCTGTAGCGGTGGCACAGCGCTGGCCTTGTGTTGTCTTGCTATGCCTCCGTTGCACCCCCCCGACTGCCTGCCGACCCGTCACCCCCCCTCATTCACAGGCCACCCAGCACCGGTGACATTGTGATCTTCCGCCCTGCTCGTGGCGTGGGGCGCGATGCCAGCTGGCTGGATGACAACGTCTTCATTAAGCGCATCGTCGCCGTAGCAGGCGGGTGGCGGTTGGGTCATTTGGGCTGTCTGACCTGTCTGACGCTGACTGCTGTCATGGTTGTGGCTAATCTGTTGCGTGTGTGTGGTTCTGTGCCTGGCTTGTCTAAGCAGACCATGGTCCCAGATGCCATCAGCGCCAGCAGCCGGCCTGAGGCCACTTTGCCACCTGCACTAAGCCGCCTCGCTGCCCTTTCCCGCCCACCGCATTGCTTCCCGCAGGCGATGAAGTGGAGGTGCGTGGTGGCAAGCTGATTGTGAATGGGATGGCGCGGGAGGAGCCATACATCAACGAACCACCCAAGTACCAGCTGCAGCGGCTGGTGGTTCCCGAGGGGTGAGTGCGTCTGGATGCCTGCCCAGCGCTGCCTGTACACCTGCGTGTCCTTGTTCCCCTTGCTGCTCAACCTTGCCTTACCGTCCACATGCGCTTGTCCACACCTGCAGTTTTGTGTTTGTGATGGGGGACAATCGCAATAACAGCTATGACAGCCACATCTGGGGCCCGCTGCCTGTGGAGAACATCATCGGCCGCGCCTGTTGGAAGTACTGGCCGCCGCAGAAGTGGGGCGGGCTGGAGGACTGGAGCGACGTCAGCAAGCTGACGGGCAGCAGCGCAGGAGCTAAGGTGGTGCTGACGGCAGGCAACGGCGCCGTGCTGCCGCAGGCGCCGCCGCTCAGGTGATTTGCTGGTTGCAGGCGTGGCGACTGCGGTTTAAGTGCCGCGCGTTGCCTGCAGCCTTGTTTCGAGTGATTCGCTGTGGGGCTTACCTATCCCCTCCCTCCGTGCACATCATTTTATATTGAATGGTCAAACAAGCAAAGGAACAGAATGAAAGCGTTGAAAGGGGAAGCTTGTGTCGATTGAAAACTTGTGAGATACAAAAGGAGCCCCGAGAGCAGCAACGAGCGGACTTCAGAAGGCCTTCACCAGCCAATCTTGCTGCGCAGGGACGCCACCAGCTCCGCCATCATGGGTATACTCAGCGCCAAATTCAGCAGGAAGGCTGCGGCTTTGAGAACCAAGTAAATGATGCCTGCAGACGACGGTGCGGGCCAACTGATGTGAGATGGAGCAGGCAGCAGGCAGCAAGCAAGTTCGGCTGAACGCAGGCAAAGAGAGGGAAGGCAATGCCACAGCAGCAGATGGGCAGGCAGCAGGAAGTTAGGCGCGGCAGGCAGGCGGGCATAGCAGCCAGCAAGAACAGAGCCCGAGCGCGCGTGCGCGTCACCCACCCAGCGGCAGCCCCAGCACCACCGCAAGCAGAATGGCGATCAGGGCTATGGCCAGGACCGTCTCCAGGGCGTCCAGCACGAACTTGCGCCCTCTGGGCAAGAGAACCAAAAGCAACACCGGCAAGCCCAACATGACTAGCGCAGATGACACCAGGGCCGCCAGCTGGGTGTCATCGGGGGCCGCAAGCCCCCCTGTCTGCTGCAACAGGCCCGTGGCATAGGCCTTGACAATCAGCAGGTCCTGGTGTAGGGCCAGGGCAAACTGCTGCAGGGCCTGCATGGCTCCCGCCCGTGATGTACAAGGACAGGTGCATGCATAGGCAGTTCAGACTATTCTTCACCCCGGCGCGCTTAGGTGGCACGGCCCAGGCAGAAGACTCTCAGGACCCGTGCGCCCGATTCTAAACATCGCGGTGCTCTGTGACCCATCCACCCCGCTGTCTGGTGCTGTGTGCGCGTCCCGAGGGGCCCAGCTGTCGACCTCCTCAGCTGTGTTTCAAAGGACCAATCCAGCTTCACGCCAGAGCGCCCTGCCCGCCTGCCTGGGCAACATGGTGAACTTTCAGAGCGGCAGGCTGAGCGCCGAGGCCTACCAGCGACGCCGCGACGCCACCACAGCGGAGCAACTCGCGTTGCTCACCGCCGACTCCGCCTTCGCCAGCTGGCAGCTGAAGAAGGCGGCACGCGACAACCGGGCACGTGTGGCCAGCAATGCGCTGGCTGTCGTCGGCTGCGTTCTGCTCGTTGTCACCATGGCGTTGCTCAAGCCAGCCGCCGTCGGCCAGGTGCGGGGACAGGCTCCGCGGGAGAGCTCGAGGCGGAGTGCAGGATGGCTGCCTGCACGCCGCCCCCTGTTCTAGCCTCGGCTGTGCGGCTTGCCAGCCAACCTGACGCTGTGCTGCCCGCCTCACCGCCTCCGTTGTTGTTGCATGCTTGCGCTTCAGGAGGTGGCCAGCTATAGGCTGCAGGCGGTGCAGCGGGAGAGCGAGGTGGCGCTGGATGCCATCAGCGACCTCACTATCCAGCTGCGCCTGGCAGAGGAGGCACACGGTGCTGCAGCCGCGCGGCTGGAGGTGCTGGAAGCGGAGCAAGCTGCGGCGCGGGCCATGGAGCAGACGCAGCAGAGCGAGGCGGCACTTCTGGTGGCCGACATGACAGTGCAGCTGGAACAGATGAAAGCGGAGGTGGCGGCTGCCGAGGCGGCTTCCGAGGCAGCTGCCGCGCTGGCAGAAGCTGCGGTGGCGGCATCTGAGGCGCTGGGCGCTGCCTCAGCTGCCACGCCCTTGTTGCCGCCGCCCACCACCTGCCCAGCCCCATCGCCGTTCGAGCATGTCACCATCGTCAACCCCTCCCCTGGTGGGGCCTGGCCCTCCATTTCCGTGGGTCCCCACTGCAACTCCAGCCTTGCGGTGTCAGCACTGGCGGCGACAGCGCTGTTTAGCACCGATGGCACCCCCACCACCGCCCTCTACACATTTCTTGCCTCGCTGGGCTGCGCCGCGCTGGCAGTGCTGACCTACCTCCGCGGCAGGCGGGCCGCTGCATGTGAAGCAGAGCGCGCGACTCAGATGGCCGCGCGCCTTAAGGAGGCCTCCTTTGCACGCGACACTGCCGAGCAGTCGCTCACGCTGCTGGAGGCGGAGCTGCAACGGCGCATGAAGCAGCTGGATGAGGCACAGCAGCGCGCTGCTGATGCGAGTGAGTTGTCTGCTGCGGGAATGTGCGGCAACCCTCTTGTGTCTGCACCCGCTGTTGTATGCAGACTGATGCGATGGGCCTCTGCTCCTCATAATGCCTCTCCATTGCTGCCACCTGCAGCCTCCCCCAAGATTGGCACCATGCCAGCGCAGCACACGCCTGGGAAGGGCGAGCTGCCGCCGCCACCGGCCAGCCTGATTGAGGACTTCCTGCGGTCGCACAGCTTCATGGCGGTGCAGCAGGAGCAGATGCAGGAGTGGCTGGAGATGGAGCACCAGTTCGGGGAGATGCAGGCGGCGCTCGCAGAGCTGCAAGCCGCACTAACCGACAAGGATGCCCAGATTGCGGCGCTGGAGCAGGACTTCAGCGCGGTCCACGAGCACGGCAGGGTAAGCAGAATGGGGCCACGGCAGCGTCGTCTCTCTGGTGGAACGGCGGCGGCCCCTGCCTGCAAGCACAGCACGCAGCATGCCCCTGCGTGCTGCACTGCCCACCACCTCTTGCACCTGGCCGCCAACCAGCATTCCGCTATTGGGGATCCCGCCCCCCTGCGCCCTGCCTGCTCACCCCCACCTTGGCAATCCCCTTTTGCAGCTGGAGGTGCGAGCCCTGGAGGACCAGCTGAGCCAGGTGAAGGCATGGCTGAATGAGGCCCAGGAAGAGCTGCTGAACACACAGGCAGCCCTTCAGGAGCGTGAGATGGAGTGCCGCCGAGTTACCGGGCAGCTGGAGGCAATGCGGGTGCTGGCTGCCGGCGCTCAGGTGCGAGGCTTTTCAATGCGGCCATGCTTCTTCCAGTGGCTGAGTTTGGGGATTCTAGGAGGCCCCAGGTGTGTGCAGCGACCTGTTGCGGGCTGTGTCGTGCAGGCGAGTGAGGGGCATGGCCCAGCACTTCTGCGGCAGAACCTGGAGCTGGTGGCTCAGCTGCAGACTGTCAATGCGGCATATGAGGAGATGCAGGCGCAGCTGTCCTCTACCGGCGGCACCTCGCTGGCACTGACAGCGTTTGGGTCCAAGGGCCTCAGGCCGGTGAGCGGGCGATATGGCAACTGCTTGGGAACAGCAAATGAAGCCGTCTTATCCTGTTGCCAGTTGCTATTCTGCCATCTGGCATCGTCGCCATCCGTCCATCCTTGCCCCTCCCTCTCCCGCCTATGCACGCAGGCTTCTGCCACCTCCACCCTGCCGGGCACCCCTGCCGCCGACTTGACGTGCGAGGTGCAGTCGTGCTTGGACATCATGCGTGCCACACGGGTGCAGCTGGCGGACCGGCTGGCCCACAGCGCAGGCGTCTGCAAGGCAATGATTGACGACTGCCAGAAGCAGAGCTTGGGCGAACGGGGGGTGGGTGCCGCCGCTGACGACAACGACCAGGCGCTGGAGGCATTTGGGTCGCCGGCAGTGGCCTCGCCCTCCGCCTCTGAGCAGGAGGAGAGGGAGGGCGCATGCACGCCACTGGGCGTTAGCAGGCTGCACCATGCCAACCTGCCACCGCAGCAGGCGTCCTCCCCAGCCAAGAAGGCCCAGGCGCAGCCTGGACGGGGCGGCACCAGCGTCAGCCCCTCCTCGTGCAGCGTGGATGGCAGCATGAGGGCTGCATGGGAGGCGGCACATGCTCGGGTGGCGGAGGTCCGCGCGCAGCACACTAGCTGGGACCTGGCGGGGTTTGTGCAGGGTCTGGGCTTTGAGGTGAGCTCCCCCTGCAAGTGCAGTAAGGCGACCGCGGGGCAGTTGGCGAAATGCACCACAAAAGGTTTTGTTTGCTGGACTTGTTTCACCCACTGGCTGATCACTGCCCTCTGCACTGCAGATTGAGGAGGTGGGTGTCCCTGCCGACCGCGCTGACTTTCTGGCACTGAAGGCATCCTTGGAAGCAGCTCTGGAGGCATCTGCCACTGGCGCTTCCTCCCCGCAGAAGCGTGCGCTGGCTGGGGAGGCGATGCAAGTGAGATGGTGTGGCAGCAGCCGTCGTTGCCGGCTGGGTTATCAGGCGTGTTCTTTGGTGTCTGGTGTTTGCAGCGCTCGCATTCTGGCCACGAGCGGGAAGCATAGCAAATGGTGGCGCCGCAAGCTGCGCCATTCATGGATGGTTGCTGGTGCCCGCCCCTGCAGGTGCTGCGCGACTGGGAGTGGCCAGCCACCCGCATCAACACGCCGCCGCCGAGCCCCTTTTGGCGCATGCTTGGATTGCAGGCGTAGGCTGCCTGCCGGCTGGTACAGCTTATAGACCCTGCGCTCCCTGTTCAAAACATACGCAGTTGCTGACATCCCCTAGCAGTGTCGCCATCCGTCCTTCTCCCCCGTTAGAGACTACCAGTTAGAGAGAGCTAGCAGTTAAAGCAGCGTGTTAGCCTAGCCACACCGGCTGTAGTGTTATGGCCCTACGAACGTTGAGGCAGTGCAATATCTGGCTCCCAAGCTTCTCACGGGCTGTGATACGGTAATTTGCCCCCCTGCTTGCCCACTATTCGGCTTGTACCACCCCTCACTACCTGTCGCGCTACTTGTGTTTATACACCCAGATGTAAAGATGATTGGGTCTGTCAGGTAGCACATTCTACGAGGCCATGGCGCCTGCTAGGCGCGCACAGTGTGGGCGCAAGCGCCGCGGCGGTTAAAGCCAGGATGCGGGTGGTACCCTCCGCGCTTTTGTCCCGCCCTCCTACACAGTCTGGTAGAGGCCGCAACAAGCCACACATGTGATTGCGGGGAGCGCATATTCTGTTGTGACTGGCACCAACCTGCCAGCAGCATACTGACTCCCATTTTCTGACCCGCTGTTACAACGAACACCCTGCAAGCCCCCGTAGGCGATGTTCGATTGTGTGGCCCAAGCGCTGGGCCGTTCGCAGGCATTTCGCGACCACCTCCCACGCAGTGCAGCAGGGGGCTCTGTAGACGCGCCAGGGCCCTCAGCAGCTTTCTACTCTTCATTCTGGGCTTCTGGGCACGAGGTAGGCATGTCAGCGAAAGCCTGGCAAACAGGCATGCTGTCATGATGCATCCAGCGGTGCCACAATGTGCGGCGAGTATGGCTGAAACACCAAGCCTGTCGCCTGCAGGTCTCCTGGGTAATGCTAGCCATGACACATCGACCATGGCTATCAAGAGCGCTGCTGCATGCAAAAGAGGACCGGGGCAGCGGCGCCGGAAGCGGCTGGAGCGGCATCACAGCACCTTGTTTCTTCTTACATGCGGCCATTCATTTGACGTGGGCAAGGGTGGAGAGAACCTTGGCAGGCTGGTGCTCAAAGCTCGCCATAATCTAGTGCTGCGCGGCTGGCCAGGGCGACCTGCCATGGGGGCTGCAGCGTCATCCGTGGCGACGGCGCCTCCTCCGCCCCCGCCTGCTCCTCCCTCCCAACCACCTTCGTCTGACAGACATAGCGCGGCGATGCTGCTGCCAGATGCTGCATCTGGGGCTGCAGCTGCTGGGTGGGCTGGTGCTGGTGCTGTGGCGGCGACTGTAACAGTGATGACACAACTCCCACAAGCGTTTGACTGCTGTGGGCACAGAACGCACTCGGCGATTCTGCATGCTGCTGCTGGGACCCTCGGGTGGCTGCTCTGGTTGGTTGCTGCTGATGCTGCACACTGTCATCAGCGGTGCTGCGCGCTGCCAACGTACCCCCAGACGTGGCAGCGCCAGCCCGAGGGGAGGTGCCTGGCAGCGCTATGGTGCTGCTGGTGGCATGCTCAAGCATCTGTGTGCTTGCTAACAAAGGCAGCTCCCCTGGCTCAGAATCCGAGCCAGGCTCTACTCCCTCTGTCAACTTCTGCGCACGCAACTGCACTACAGAACGCCCCTGCTCATTTGAAACCGCTGCTGGTGGTACGTGCTGTTCCTGCTGCTGCTGCTGCTGGCCCTGCTGCCCTATCGTGGCCGTAGCACGCTGTCGCTTTGGCTGTTGTCCTCGCGACGCATCAGTCACCTGCTGCTGGTCATGGACAAGCTCAGCTTGGCTCCTTGAAGGTGATTGTTGAGCCTGAGCAGCGAGAGTCGAAGTCCGTCCTTGCAGCAGCTTGTCTGGCGCTGTTGCAATCTGCGGCTGGTTGGGCTGTGCATGCCAATGCGGCTGCTGCAGTGGCTGTCCCTCCAGCTGTAGCGGCGATTGCAGCTGCGGTTGGCTGCCCTCGTTCTGGCCTGGCTGGTGGGCAGGGCAGACCAGGAACTTTTTGGACACAAGGCGCGAGTCTGACGGACGACAGCGCACATGCCAGCCGTGGTGGCAAAGCAGGCACTGCGTGGCAGGGCAGCAGGACAGACCTCAGGCGAGGCGAAGTCGCCAGGTGAATGCCCACAGTTTCACGGCATTCTCACCTGCACCATGGGGATGCCGTCCCCGCTGGCGCCACACTGGAAGCAGTAGTGCAGCGAGCACTTGGCTCTGCGCCCACTGACGCTAATCTGCAAGGCAGGCAGACCGAGAAACGATGCTGTTATGGTGGCCCCGCATTGGTCCAGCGCAGGCAGCAGAGGCGCCATTTGAAAGCGCTCGCCAGCCAGGCATACCCTGGCCAAAGGGTTGGCGACAAGGCACTTCCAGTGATAATGGCGACCACAGTGCCCCATGCTGCACTTGAGTGTGCCGCTGAGGCCAGGTGCGCCGCCGCAGGTGAAGCAGGGGTGCCTGCACATCATGGCGCAGAAACATGACAACAAGAGGTGTGGTCTGGCGAGCGGCATGAACAGCCGGGCGCTGAAGCCCAGGATGAGCTGGAGGGAACATAATTCAGGCGTTCAACAGCAGCAAGAGTAGCTGCTGATGGGAAGAGCAAGACGCTGTCGCATGCCAGTGAGTGCCTTGCCTGTTGCTGGTGCACTCCTGGCAGCGGCGTAGAGCCCCAGGCCCTGCAGCTGGCGGGCTGCAGGAGTGGTGGAATGTGCGACGGCACGGGCCCTCACAGGTCCACAGCTGCTTGTCAAATGCTGCAGGCCAGCAGGAGCACCAGGCGCCGAGGTCATGAGGCACTCAGGCTTGGGGGCACGCACACAGTCCCAGGACATGGAAAAGGGCATGGCCGAAAAATCTCACCCTCATGTGGCACGCCCTCGCAGCATGTGAAGCACACCGCCGCGGGTGCTTTGCCAATTGTGAGCGAGCGGCCCAGGCCTGTCGGGCATGGGCTGGCGCCAGCAGAACTTGACGGCAATGCTGCTGCTGCAGCAGCACGGTTACGTGCACTGTGGCTGCTCCCCTTGCTTCCAGTGCTAAAGCTGCTGCGTGCACCCAGCTGGTATGCGTTGCTGGCACTGTCACCACCAGCAGGGGGTGGCAGCACAGCAACTGCATAGACTGCCGCTGATCTGGCCTGCTGCCGCTGCTGCTCCTGAGCTGCTGCTTGCTTGACTGCCAGCATCGCCGCCTGGGACTGCATCAGAGCCGTCGCAAGGAAAGCAACAACCGCATGCTGTTGCGCCTGCGCCTGCGCAAGTGCAAAGGGGGCCTTGCTAGCACAGCTGCTTGCTGCGGTGTTGCCAGATGCTGCTACTGTGGATGCGGCAAGCGCTGCAGCGGCGGGTGCTGCCGACAGAAGCAGCGCATGTCGCAGTGCTGCATCGTTGGGCAGCTGGGTCTGTAGCAGCACAGCTGCCTTGGCGGCCGCCACCTCTGCTGCTGTAAATCCGCCCGCGCCTGGAGTGGTCACCACTAGGCTGGTGCCGGTGAACAAAAGTGCTGCAACGTGGCTGGCGAGCAGCAGCAAACGTGGCATACCCATGGGCTGCAGCCCTTCCGCAGCTGCTCCAGGTGCCACTGCCTGGGGCAGCGGCAGCAGAGTGTATGCCGGCTGGGGACCAGTGCAGACACCCTCCTCCCAGGCTGCAACTGCTTCGGCGCAGCATGCCATGCTGTAAACTGCCTGTGCCACCTGCTGCTGCTCCTGTCGCTCATCCTCCTCAACGGCGAGCACAATACGGCGCAGAGCGCGACCAACCTCCTGCATTGCCGTTACAGGGCCCCGTTGCTTGCCCCTGCAGAGGCAGGCAAAGGGCAAAGGTCTGGCAATCAGGCGGCACCAAGGGTAAGGGCATGCAGATAGTCACGTGCAGCTTGGCACGTCTGCCGATCCTACCACAGACCCCTGACACTAGCTGGCACGGCTGTGTGCATGCCCACCTTAGCATCGGCTGCTGCGCCAGCAGGGTTGCATTGGGGCGCTCCAAAAAGCTCAAAATGTCGTCCAGCACACTGAACACGCAGGCGGCAGCGGCAGCCTCGCTGCTGCTGGCCTCCTTTGCGTCTGTCGCGCACAGGCTGAACCCCAGCCGGTCTGCCGCCTCCACCTGCGGCAGCAGCAGCAGCACAGCCACAAAGAAGTGGCATCAAGGGATAGCGGCAAAATCGCTAGGCCGCACATGTTTCGCAGCAGCAAACCAGATGAATGCTGTGTGCGGTCCCTACCAGCTGCGTCCCACCTTTCTGAGCGCTGACAGCAGCATGAGCTGCGCCGTGACGTCCTCCATCTTCTCCTGCCGCTCCAGGTGCTCCACCCGGCGGACTAACTCCTGCAGCACATCATGCAGATCACAGATACAAAACTCAGGCATGCCCTGCCCGCACTTTCACGCAATGGGCGCTACCCTTGCCTGCATGATGCGCCAGATCTCCCTACGCTCAACAGGTGGTACGCGTGGCCGACGTGCTGAGCCTCCAGCGGCCCGGCTGATCCCGGTACCGATGCCGCCTGCCGCTGCATGCCGTTGGGCCAGCAGCGCTGCAGCGCGGGCGCTGCTGTTGAGCGAGAGGCAGCGCAGCCAGGTGCAAGTCTCCTCCAGGTGCAGCTGCAGCCAGGCAAAGGCAGCTTCCGCGCAGATGAGTGAGGTTTTTTTAAGCACTGCAGGTCAAGCTTCAGAAACCGTTGCTAGGTAGCAGAAAGCAACTGGGCAGCGTGCCTGTTCTGCGTCCTTCCAGGCACGTGGGTTGATACGACGCAGGATCATGCCGGCGCTCTTTCCCGACATGTCCATGGGCCGCACACAATGTTTGATGCCATTGGCCGCATATCCGCCCTCCTCCATCACTGCAGCAGAAGGCCGGGTGGGATGGTGGGTGGAGACCAGCAGTGGTGGTAGCGCGATGCAGCCCTGACAGGAAGGGGAGCTTGATGCAGAATGAGTATTGGAAAGCAAACAAGGGGGCTCGGCATGCTGGCAACAGCATCTAGCAGTGGAGCGCTCACCCATGATGCAACCACGAGGCAGTGGCACGCAGCAGACGCCATTAGTATATCTGCACCTGGCAGCGCCAGATATGAGTTAGAAGAGGGCGGACAGTCAACACTGAGCAAGGCAACCATGCAAGGTGGTACACACCCATACAGTTGCGTGCCAAAGCTCAGCCGACTATCGCTAAAGAGACGCAGCGACAGGATGGGCTGGCAGAAACGTGCGGCATCATCATAATGGCTCTGCAGGCAGGGACGTTGCCAAGCTGTCCTCAACATGGAAAAGGAACCGGAAGTGAGCGGGAAAACCCAGCAAAACACCAAACGAAATCAGACCAAACCTCTCCAATATGGACACGAACCGTGCCTACCTGGATTCCTTCTGAGCCATCGTGGTATATGTTTAGCGCTATGGAGTCACAGAAGCCGGGCGCCACAAGGCCCGCACCTACCAGCGGAGCCTCCACCTTCTGCCGCATCCAGCGGGGTGGCTGCAGGCCGAGGGCCGGGCAGCAAGTGGGCGGGACAGTGAATAAGAACAAGTACCCTTGCAGCACAACAATGGACGGATGGCTTTGGCAATAGTCCTCACCGGTGGCACATCAAGGCGCACTCCACCTGCCACCATGGCATCGGCCCCGGCAAGCTGGTCCCGCGTCCACATGTACCTGCGCCCCAGTGTGCTAGCCAGTCCATTTTGTGCGGAGACCAGTTGGGGCTAAAGATGGCACATGTGTTGCCTGGTGCGGATCCAGCTGCTCAACATTTGCTGGTCAAACTAGCTCAACATGGCACACTGTGTGGAGTGCAGCAGATCGAAACGCTGCCTCACTGGTGTTCACCTGGCACCCCAAAAAAACTTGCTTCGCTTGTGGGCCCCGCCACGGCCGGCAGTGCGATGGTAGCACGTGCTGGGCAGCAGGCCTTGGTGCGATCGAGCGTCCACGCCGTCTGCACCAGTAACAGTCCATCAGCGAGCTCAAGCAGCAGGGCAGCAGGGCAAAATGGCGGCCAGGCAGCGCACCAGACTCTTTCTCTATGGCCGCCAGCTCTCCTTCGCTGAACAGCTGGGTGTAGGTGGTCACACCGATGGGCAGCAGGCCGGCGGGAGGACGCGTGGGCGGAGGAAGCAGCGTGTCATCCTCTGCTGCCACTCCAGCGCTGGCACCTGGTGTGGAGCCCTGCTGGCTTGCATCCGCAGCAATGGGCACAGCTGGGGCGCTACTGCCACTGCCGCCACCACTCTCACTGACGGCCCGCTTCCTTGCTTCCAGCACTTGGTGATAGTTGTCCGGACACTCATCGACGTGCCAGAAGAATTCGGTCCGCAGAAACTGCCGTCCTGCCACCTGGATGCAAGTCCTGAAAGGGAAATCCGGCAGCGGCTGGTCCATCAGCAACCCCTGTCGATGAATGTCAGCACATGAGAGGCGAAACAGATGGCACACAAAGACTCACTCAACCGGCACAAGGTGGTGGGTGAAGCTGTCCCGGGTGCCTATAAAGTAGAATGGCCAGGGCACCTGCGCCATGGAACAACCATCTGTCTGCTCAGTTCAGCCTCCACACCACTCGAGGCCAACAGGCACACAGCGCCCCACCCCCCACCCCCCCCACCCCCCCCATGGAGGGCAATCAATCTGCAAGCGCATCCCACCTGTAGGCCCACATGCCCGCTGCCACAACTGGCAGCCGCCAGAAGGCAGCTGGCAGCCAGCACAACGGCAGCACTGTAGTCCAGACTCGGGCCCGCTGCCTGGGCTTCGGGATGCGCGTGTTTCAGCCGATCCGGGCCCAGTCCAAGTAGGCATGCCATGGGACTGCTGAGCGCAGTGGTGCCCACAGCCACCTGCAACAGCGACCGAGACATGCTTGCCGCTGACTTGAGGCCTGAAACGCGTACGCGCTGTAAGCTTGCGCAAACAGGCACCTGATTATTGCAAACAGCAGAGATAGCACCTGCAGTTGGCCGCAAAAGTCGAGAAGGCGACGGTGGTTGGCCGCCGCCAGCTCCTTCAGCAGCATTTTCTCCACACCTCGTGCTGCTGAAAAAAGTGAGTCGCGCATCGGCCTGCAGATCGAAGGAGCCATTGCACAAAACAAGTGACATCAATTTGCCGACTTATCAGGCTTCGTCAACACCACTGATTACTCATGCATCCCAACCCCAATCACGCAGCCGTCCCACCTGCCCAGCCGCTCCCAGGTGGCCTGCTCAACATATAGTTCGAGCCTGGACAGTTGCACACAAGCTGTTACGGGCGACACAAGGTAGGCACGGTGGCGGCACAAGCGCGCAATACACGACCTGTCCGAGGCATAGAGAGCCCACCTGCCACTGAAGGTGTACATGCTTAGCCGGTGATGTGACTGCGGTGCGACCGTCACTGAAGCAGCGGGGACGGGAGCTGTTGGCAGAGCAGCCGCCACTGGTGTTGGCCCTGATGGTGCAGCAGCGGGTGCAGGCATGGGTGTAAGCGGTGGTGCTGCGTTGACTTGCTGCTGCGCTTGATTCTGTCCAAGCTCCTCCTGGTGCCAGTGCTGCTCTTCCTCCTGCATCTCTTGAAGCAGCTCCTCCAGTCCCTGCTCCCCTTCGAGCTCAGCAACTGCAAACTTGGCAACATGGCTGACACCGTCCTCTGTACTGTAGCCCTCCGCCGCAGTCGCTGCTGCTGCTGCTGCATCCTCAGCCGCATCCTCCGCCTCAAAATCAGGCATCTCGTGATCACCTGCCGCCTCTGCTGCCGCTGCTGTGACCTCAGCTGCTCGCAACTCTGCCGCAGCCTTGTGCAGTGCCACCTCCAGTTCAGCGGTGCTCAGCTGCGCCAATGGCTGGCTACTGAGTGCTGGATCAGGCTCAGCAGTGGCAGCTGCAGCTGCAGGACACAGAGTCACCCCAACACATTCAGCAATGCCCACAGCCAGACTGGCCTGACTACCAACTGCAATTGCCGCTGCTGGTGCCGATGCCACTCCTGCTGCTGCTGGGAAGTGTGGCCTGGCATAATGCTGTGAACCGGTGGCTGATCTAAGTGCCGCAGGCGGCGGCTGCTTTTCTTCCCTCAGCCGACTCACAAGGCTGCGCGCTGCTGTCCCTAACATCTTGCGAGCAGGAGCTGCATCTTCTGCCGCCGCCTCCTCCGCCTCACAGGCACCCACCAAGACATCCACGAATGCTGAAGCCAGGCTCCCATTCACGCGATGGCCGTCTGCCGCAGCGTCAGGCCTGCAGCCACTGCTGTGGCAAGCAGATACCGGCTGCAGAGGTTTTGCAACTGGAATCAGCTGGGCACCTGCTGCCACAGTGCCTGACTCGCCTCCCCTGCCTGGTGCTGCTTCGACCGCTGCCGGTTGCAACCCAGCACCAGAGGTGCCTGGGGCTGCCAGCGGCAGGGGCGCGTCATCTAGAAGCGCCGACAGCAGGCCGCCACCTCCTAGCTGCCGAGCCGCAGACCTGCAGGCAGGCACCACAAATCTTGCTCTACGCATCGCATGGAACTAGCAACCAAAGCACATGAACCATGGTAGCACAACCAGCATCAAACACAGTGCCCCATTTCGTGTGAACAGCAGCATGCAGCTGTTCCCATACTTGCCTGAGAGGGCAGGTGCCACCCACGCCCTTCCTGACCATCACACCTAATTGCACGTTCGACTGCTCCACACTGTATCGCACTGCTGTCCCATTGCTGCCGGCTGATGCAGGGGTGGTGGAGACCGGGTGCAGCTGGCCCTGCTGGTCAAGGTGATAGTGCAGGCAGATGAAAGACCGGTCCTGCAGGCAGAGGGAATGAGGATTGAAAAGTTGCAGCAAGGGTTGGGGTGAAGGTATGGTCGGCCAGACAAGCATGCAGACAACAAAATGTCCAGCAGGCCCTATTGAGCCCACCTGGAGCAGCGACTCCACCCCGCGTGCCCCAGCTGAAGCTTCTACCAGGCGCCCGCCCTGCTGATGCAGCAGCTCTCGTCGCCCAGCGGGCAGTAGCAAATAACTCTTCATGTGGTTTTCCTCCCGCAGCGGCAGCACGGCAGCAATGGTGGCCTGCACGTCAGGCGGTGACGGGTCAGATCAGGCAGAGGAACATCATGCAGCTGCGGTCAAGGCGCAGCGGGAGCCCAGCTCTGACCACCAGCAGTGGGCCCCCGGTCACCGTGGTGCTGATGGTCTGCACGAGGGCGTTCACATGGCTGCCAGCCACCTCTTTCAGCCCTGGTGGCTGGAACACTGCAAGTGTACACACGAGCAGGAGTGCTGAGCTGCAGGTTAAGTCGTGTCGACAGAAAAGGGGCACCGGTGGAACAGGGCCCTGGGGGTGCAGGCATGGGCCCCTGGCGCGCACCTAGGTGTGGCAGCTGCGCCATGCCATCAGCGCCAATCTGGCGGCTCTCAGTGTGGACCACGTACGAGACGCCCGCGGTGAGCTTAGCCTGCCCGGCAGACGGAGCGGGATGGGCTGCGGCATGCAGATAAGGAAGGGCAAAGAATAGCCCAGAAGATAGCTCCATGCCAGCAGCAGCCCCTCACCTGGTCTGTGGGCGGCGGCGGCATCGCCTCCAGCTGGCGCACCAGCAACTGTAGCGAATGCTGCACGATCACTGCCTGCGCTTGCCGCCACAGCGCAGAGAGTCTGGATCGCACGCAACCGCCTGCAGCGCCGTGGGAAGCAGCCTGCTGCTGCAGCACGGCGTGCAGGCGAGGCAGGTCGACTGCTGCGCCGCGCACCAGCGGACCACGCTGGTGCGCTGCAGCTACGACGGACGGATCCAGCTCTGCCGGATCCAGCTCTGCCAGTGCTGATTGTAAATCTGCCACAGCTGAATGCTGCTGCTGCTGAGGCGGCAGCGGCGACTGAAGCCCATGCGGCGACACAGCTGCTGGAGCAAGGCGGAAAGAGGGCGGTGTGGAAGGCAGCACTGCCACAGGTGCCGCTTGAGTCGCTGCCTGAGCAGTCGCTCCCTGTGGAAGCAGCTGTGCAAAACCCTGCTGCGGCTGCTGCTGGTCGGGCGGCAGCAGATGCTTGCGTGGCCTACCGCGCTTGCGAGGCAGCATGGGGGACTGCAGCCCTGCTGCAACCTGTTCAAGTGCAGCCGCTGCCGGCGGTTGCGGCTGAATAGGCGTGTGCACCCCCGGAGCATCAGCCCCCTGAAGCGGCATCGGTGGACGAAGGTGGCCAGCTGTGGCAGCACTGCGCGACTGCAATGGTCGGCCGATGGTCAATGATGGCGCCACAAGGGCGGCGCCGCCACTGCTGTCAGCACTGTTGGCTGCTGGTAAAGACGCAACCCGATGGCAGTCGTGTTGTCTCTCTGCCTTGTGCCGCTTGCTGCCGGCAGCCATCGGGGTGCTGATTCTGGGGCCGCCTTGCGCAGCAGCATCAGCGGCGTGCCGCTTCATGGGTGGGGTGCTGTTGCCACAAGCATCCACCTGCATCTGATAGGATTCGGCAGAAGCCTCTGCTGCCACGTGGTCTACTGTCGCCTCTGTGTGTGGCCGCCCGCCGCTACTGTCGGCGGGGTGGCATCGTCCCGCCTGCGCGCAAAGCCGTTCATGGGGCAACTTCACGAGCAATCCCTTGCTCGGAGAGGTGAGGCTGGCTTCCGAGTGCAACTGCAACTCGATAGGGTTTCAGGCACAAGAGTGTGCTGTCGGCTTGCGAGCCCCCCACCATCTTGCGATCGCATGAGTCAATCCAGTCAGCGTTGTATGACCTCCTGACGACAGCGCCTCTGCTTGTCCGCCTTACTGTCGTCGGTGCGCCGGCGGGCGTGCGCGCAACGCTGGTCAAGGGAAACTTCACGTGCGGGCATGGACTGGTGCGCGCCTTCAGCACTTTGCGGCCAGGTGTCCTGCCCGTCCCGCCGGCGCAGCCGCCAGCGCCGCGCCACCGCCGCGTCTCTCACACGGTGCAAAGCTCTTGGTTCACTTGCTGGACATCAAACCCCAAGATGGGTCGAAATTTCCACTCTGATCCATTCAGATCCAGCCATCCAGATCCATTGCCACCATTGGACGGTGCTCGTACACATCCCTTTAGCGACCCAATCGATGAGCTTGACGGACTGCGGAGCTGATCACTGCTCCCCACCCCACCACTTGCCGCCTGGCGCTGCTTGCCGCATCGGTGGGCGAGCCATCATGTAGAAGGAAACGCCATTATAAGAGTCGGGTCATAAGAACCAGACCCCTGGCCCGCCCAGCTCAAACTGCTCCACATCCCTGCGCCACGGGGGATTGCCACCCCATGTGTGTCATGTATGCTAGTCGTGCCGCTGCTGCACGCAACAGCTTCAAGGAGTTCAGTGACAGGGCAGGTGGCAAACGCTCTACCACCTGCATCCGGCAAGCGCTCCAGAGAATGTAGCATGGCATGCCCCAGCCCGTTGCGCTGCTGCCGTGTCATTGCTGCCAGGAAGTCGATGTGCCGTAGGGGGGGCGTGGGCCTGCAATAGAGGGGCTGTCCACCACGACAGGTGAGATCACTGCAACGCACGTCCAGAAGTCGGGAGTGTGGCTGCTTTCACAGGCAACAGTTGCACCTGCATGAACTGCTCCTGGATCCTGATGAGGTCCACCTTCAGCTGCTTCTCAGGGGGATTGCAAGCCGGCGAAGCGGGTGGACCTGAACTGTGCACCAGACGGCGGCGGTGTGGCACAAACCTATAGTATCGATGGCCCCCTCCACCAATGCCTCTCCATTCCAAAGTATTGCGTTCTAGGCAAGGATGGGCTCTGTAGAAGGCAATGAAGCCCATGGATGCTGCCACCCTTGGGATGGCTCCTTGGACTCACTACCGCGTCAAGGCAAGGATTTGCAGGCAAGGAGGTGGTGGTGCAGGAAAGGGAGCTGCAGCTGGTGGGAGGGAGTGTGGGTGAATAGGCCGGAAAAACACTGAGAGAAGGAGAAGGTGCGTTACAGTTCGACTGGCAAGCAAACTAATCAAACGAATAGGATGTATTGTACAAAACCGAGTGTGTTTGAGACTGGGCTTGCGCGCCGCCTGGATCCTCCGGAGGCACCGCATCACCGCGCCAGCTGGTCACCATACCTGAGCTGCTGCCCTGGTGGAGGTCACGGGTTGACAGGCTCGCTAGGTGCGCCACAATGGAGCACACCACAGAGACAGGCATGACAGATGCTCCGCCGGGCTGTGCGGCACCCTGGCCCGCGACGCCGTACCCAGCTCCACCTGCGGTACCAAGGCGATCTCGGTCGGGCGGCGAGCGCTAGTCAGGCGCTAGACAGCTGGGCTGCATGCCCGCTGGGCCTGTTCTCTCTGAGCAGCATTTCTAATGGTCAATCCATGACCAGCAGCACGCCGCCAGCCGCGAAACTTGCCTGCCAGGCGTGCCGCCAGACGGTGCAGACTGAGCAGTAGGGCCTTCACAGTTGCCCTGAAGGCTGTCGGCCACAGGGCATGCTGCGCAGCAATCCACACCGGCTTTGTCAGGCATGCGGCTACCTCCCTGCACGCACAAACATGCGGTAGCAAGTTGTTCGAGTGTGAAGGCGGCTGTGCTGGCGGAGGAACCCCATCCATGACAGCTACAGAATCCACGAAGATTCAAAGCAGATTCAAAGACCAACCTCAAGTCGGCATCGGGCTCTTCTTGGATGGCCTGTAGCACAGGGCTGGCGTCCGCGCCAGCCAGCACGAGGGCCTGCATAAGGCGCAATGCTCGGCTCCGTGTCGTGTTCATGCAGATCTGGTGCCACTTGCCGTCCTGGCCCGGCTGCCAACCCTGCAGGCAGGAGCACAACATTAGCACAGGAAGCTGTTTCCTGCCATCGGCATCTCAAGGGGCAAGGCCGAGGCAGCCCCCGCCTACAACCAGCCCATTGTTCCCTGAGCAGGAGCTGTCACCCCACCATTCGTCCCGTCTCTTCGCAGTATTCAAAGCAGCTGTACCACATCGCGCGGTTCTGAAGGAAGCAGTGCTGGAGCAAGCTGATCTGTTGTCCGTCACTCTTGATCACCGCGCCGGGGTCCGCCGCCCTGCGTGCCAGCAGCACCTGAGGGAAGCCAGCGGCAGGGTTGCAGAAGCATGGGTTTGCTGGGTTGCACGTCGTGCAAGCAAGCTGGCAAGCTGGCTCAGCCCGCCCTGACGCTCCCAAGCTCAGCGCCACCAACACGAACCACAATCCTGTCGCCTACCCACCTCTGCGCATTCCACTTTGTCTAGATTCATGGCTGTCGTCACAAGGGTCAGCGAATCCTCTGCCTCCAGCTCCCATCCCCGCATTGCCATCATCTCCAGCAGCCAGCCAAGCTCCCGCACCCGGTTCAAACGGATGGCGGCATCCAGGACGGATGCCTCCATATCAGCGCCATACTGCATGCAGCCGGCGGCACATTCACACTGGAGCACAGGCTGGATGGTTGAGGGTGGGAGGAAAGGAGTGCATGGGAGCCCAAGCTGCAGCAATGCACCATGGTGGCTGCATGATGTGCCTCACCTTGGTGAGCAGGAATATCATAGTCGAGCGTGCCTCGCTGCTGGGCGCCAGCAGCGCAGCCACCAGCGGGTAGAAGGCCCCCGCCTTGCTTGCTTGTGTGGGCTTAAAGTCTGGTAAAGCAAGAACTAGCTTGCAACATAGACTCCCCGCCGAAACGGGACGGGAACCGGGCGAAAGCAGAGAAAGCAATAAAACAGGGGTGGAGCAAGGCGACATGCAACGCAAGCAGCTGACAGGGCACGCATCGAAACGTGTGTATGACTGGCAAAGTGGCATGGCGCATTGGGGAGAAACGCAACGGTACGGGAGCATGGGCTGGCCAAACGGCAGTGCGGAACGCTAGGTCACTAGAAAAGCAGGGAAAGGCGCACTATGTATGCAATGAGGGCAGCCCCGGCTCGGGGC